AGTTACCCGCTACTCTTATTTTCACATTAGCATTTTTTTTCTTTTAACTTTTTACTGTGAATTTACAGACAAGATCATCAGCTTTACATTCAGCAAACCAGACATTTTATTTCATCTCGATGACTACAATCTCTCCTTGCAACAACACTTATCCTGCTTCCTCCCTGTGTTTCCTATTTGCATTCCATCCACCTTCCCATCCCTTCTCAGCTTTGTCCTTTGGAAATGTTGTCCTTTAGATTTTGAATGATTAACCATTCCATGGTGAGCATACCTTATTAGTATTGTTGTCCCCGCTAAAAACCGATCTGCTGCTTGACTGAAAATTGGGCCACTACCGTGAGCTCCTTTCCAGACCTGAAGGGGGGTCGAGGGCCAGAGTCTCAGATTCCCCCAGTCTCTTTCTGACCAGTAAGCCCTTTGCCCCTACCACGATGGTGACCCCAGCCCTGTAGGCCACTGCCAAAGCCTCTGGGCCCTCCCGCTGCACTAGTGTCATCTGCCATTTGGTGTTTTCTCAGAGAAGAAACCATAGCACAGGTTTTGTGAGACATTTCTTCAATTTTTGTTTATTTAGGAATGACTTGATTTTGCCTTCATTTTTGCCAATTTCGAATTATTGGTTGACTCTTGTAGTCTTTCAGCCTTTGGAATATGTCATTCTACTCCCTTCTCATTTCTGTGGTTTGTGAGGAGAAGTTGGTATTTACTCTCATTGAGGATTCTTTGTATGTGATGATCTGGTACTCCCTTGGTGCTGTTTGTATTAGGTTTTTGAGAGTTTGATTTTAAAATATCTTGTCTGTCTCCTTGGGTTCATCCTACTTGGACTTCATTGAGCTCTTTTAATGCCGATTCATACCTTTTGTCAAATTTGTGAAGTGTCTGGCTTATTTCTTCAAATATTCTTTTTGTCCCTTTTTCTCTTCTCCTTCTAGGACCCCCATTATGCTTATGCTGGCCTGCTTGATGTTGCTGTTGTTGTTGTGTGCATTGAGTCAATTGCTACTCATAGAGAACCCTGTGTAGGGTTTCCAGAGCTGCTGGTGGGTTTGAACTGCTGACCTTATGGTTAGCAGTCCAGTGCTGATCCTACTATGCCACACCAGCTTGATATGTCATGTGCCATGGAGTCGGTTCTGACTCATAGCGACCCTGTACAGGGTTTCCGAGGCTGTAAATCTTTACGGGAGCAGAACGCCTCATCTTTCTCCTACGGAACAGCTGGTAGTTTCAAACTGCTGACCCTGAGGTTCACAGCCCGATTCGTAACCACTACACTACCAGCTTGAGAGTGCATCATAAATCCCTTAGGCTCAGCTCACGCTTCTTTCTTTATTTCTCTTCGGACTTGATAATATAATTTTTTATCAAGTTCATTGATTCTTTCTTCTCCCAGCTCAAATCTGCTGTTTAATCCCGCCAGTGAATTTCTCATTTTAATTTTATTTTACTTTTCAGCTCGAATATTTCTGTTTGATTCTTGTTTACAGTTTTATCTCCTTACCAATTTTCTCATTTTGTTCATACCTTGTTTCTCTGATTTCCTTTACTTTCTTGTCCATGATTTCCTTTTGTTCTATAAGCACATTAAATACTATTGTTTCCAAGCTTTGTCTAGTAAGGCCATTATCTGGACTTCCACAGGGATGGTTCCCACCATTCATTTTGTTCTTTTACACAGTTCTTCTTAAGCCTTGTGATTGTTTGTTGAAAAAATGGACATTTGATTGTTACAATAACGTACCTGGAAATCAAATTCTTCCCCTCCCCCAGGACTTGCTACAGCAGTTTTATACTCATTTGTCTTTTTTTTTTTTTTAGTTTTTATAATGATTTGAGTGATAGTTTACATGGGAGAACATCAGTTTTGCTCTCATGCTATCGTATTTTGTTTCATTGCAATGATTACAATCTACTCTGTGCATCATCATTCAACAGTATTTGCTTCTATTCCCTCTGGTTTTTTGTTTTTGATGTACACAAAAACACTTAGGAATATATAATCATTTAAACAACCAAAGAGCATATTCTGCAAGCCTGCCTCCTGGCCACCAGCACACAGCCTTTCTCTTTCCATGAGTCTAGAGTCCCCAGCTGCTCTCTCCCTCCACGTTCTCATCTCTGCCTTCATCTCTGGTATTGCTACTTCTCTGGATAGAGTCTCACATTCCGCTTATGCTCTTCTCCCTTGATGGTCCTAGGGACTGTAAGATTAACTACTCCCTCAGTTGTTCTGGTAGCATAGTGGTTACGAATCGGGCTGCAAACCTCAGGATCAACAGTTCAAAACTACCAGCGGTTCTGCTGGAGAAAGATGAGGCTTTCAGCTCCCATAAAGATTTACAGCCTCAGAAATCCTGTACAGGGTCACTATGAGTTGGCACTGACTCCACGGCATATAACAACAACAGTTGTTTCTTAATTGCTGAAGGCTGTAGTCATCTGTTTGTGTAGTGATTTTCTGTTTTGGAAAATTGCCCTCCTAAACATGTGTAAACTCAAGTATTCAGGTATTCATCTAGAGTTTTGGCCGATATTTCTTTGAATGCAAGGGTTGAGGGAGTGGCATCTCGAGCTTCACAAATTGACTATGTGCTGGGACCCTCTTTCCAACACTTAGCAAGTCTAGTACTGAGTTTAGGGATCAGCCTAAGGTAAAACTGTTTTCTCAGGTCATTTATGAGTATGCATCTTTCATGTGATGTGTGTTTGTGTGTGTTTGTCTTCCTCAATTCCCGCTTACACACCGTTCTTTATTTCTAAAAGAAATTCTTTCCGTAGTCACTCTCCATCCAGTCTTTAGTTGCCAAGTTTGTGTCTTAATCACACTGGTTAGGCCAAGCAGCTACAGGTAGTTACAACTTTAGGGCATTACCCACAGTCTGTCTGCCCTGTGTGAATTCTGAGATACCACGTCAAGACAAGAGCCCTATTTCTGTATTTCAGGCAACCCCCCATTACGTTAGAACAGACACACAGTGGTTTGTGAATAAAATCTCTGCCAGAGACCAGGGTCCCTCTCTGGGAGTGCACATCACTGCTGTTTTAAGGTGGTCACATGAGCTGGCAAGATGGCGGGGCATGTAGAAAATCAAAGCTTTCCGACACTTAGACGTCACTTTTTTCTTGATTCAGCATATGCTTAGGTGCTGTAACCTCTTGATGGGTTCCCAGAGTTCTGACAAAGTTGGCTCTGTGCTTGTCTATTTTTGTTTATGGGTGGGGGATGGGAGCATGCTGCTACTTACAAAGTCACCTTGCCCTGGATAAGTGTGTGCTTTCAATTTAGATAAAGTTTTTTTAAAACAGAACACTGTGTTTTGAAGGTCAGTCTAGATTGCAGCATGTTGTTGTTGTTGTTGTGTCATCGAGTTGGTTCCGACTCATAGTGACCCTGTATAGGGTTTCTGAGGAGCAGCTGGTGAGCTTGAACCACCGACCTTGTGGTTCAAACAACTTTGCAGTTCAGTACATTAACTCACAGTGCCACACCAGGACTCCTATTACTGCTGCACAGGATTTCCAAATGCCTGTCACCATATTTCATATACCAATTTCATTATAATGGACACCTCTCATCAGGTGGTATGACACTGTAGGATTAGCACTGGACTGCGAACCACAAGGTCAGCAGTTCAAATCCACCAGCTGCTCCTCAGAAACCCTATTGTTGTTGTTGTTATGTGCCGTGAAGTCGGTTCCAACTCATAGCAACCTGTACAGGGTTTCCGAGGCTATAAATCTTTATGGGAGCAGAAAGCCTCATCTTTCTCCCACTGAACAGCTGGTAGTTTTGAACTGCTGACCCTGAGGTTAGCAGCCCGATTTGTAACCACTATGCTACCAGAGCTCCTTATACAGGGTGGTAATGAGTTGGAACTGAGCCAATGGCACTTCACAACAACAAATGATCAGAAGCAATAGAAAACTTGATCTTCTGGGTGTGGACCAGATTAGATGGGGTCAGGAATGGAACTGAGAAAATCACTCCAACCATGTGTTACAGTATGCCTTGTGCAAGCTGAAAGCACACTGGCTCTCCATATGGATTGGAACTTGGTGTGGAGCTGAAAACAATAAACCAGATGCCAAAGACCAAACAAAGTCCTTAATGAAAGTGGACAAATGACCAATTAGTTATGGGATCACTGCAATGAGGGAGGATGGTTACCTGCATGGCATAGACTTCAAGGAATAAGGTTTTTCCTTAAAGAAGGAGTGATCAGAAGTGTGAGACGTAGAGTCAACGACACAGCAAGTGTGGCTTCCTCAAGAAAGAGCCATTTCTGTCAAGGTGTTAACAGGTGTTCTGTGATGTTGAAGGATGAAGAAGGTAGTTTGCTCTGGACAGGGTGCAGGTGTGAGGGGTTACAGGCAAGCCATGCAGGGACAATCCGTAGCAGAAGTTAAATAGAAGAACAGGGGTAGCTGAAATGGCAAAAAGGTTGGTTTGTTTAGTGGAGACTGTGGAAGAAGACAGGATTAGGATTAGTTCTCCAATGAGACAAATGAAATGGTCCCATGATTCCACCAAGAATCTCAGTGTAACCCATGAGGTCCAGGTGGAGGAAGGGGAAGTGGGGAGGGGGTGTCTGCTGACTCTGCCCAGTTGCTCTTGAAAAAAACAAGTGTTTTCATGCCTGGACAAATCTTAGGCCCGTATGTATGGGGGCGAGGCATGGAGGGGCAGTCTGTGGGCAGTAGATGTGTTGGTGAGCTTAATCTGAGCCAGGAATACCCTAAGGGGTCGTGGGCCCGACCCCCAAGCTGTGGGAAGCTAAGAGTCTAAGCAGGAGATCCTCTGAGATGCAGCTTTGGTAGATGGGAGTGAATAGGTCTGAAGAGCTCATTCAGAAGAATACAGAGTCCCTCACTGCCCGTGACCTGGCAACCCTACGTTGCAGGCATCCTCTCCGACTCTCTCCCTCTTATGTGGGCCTTCCGAAGTCCCAGCCCTGTTCCCCTCCCAGGCTCCAATTCCACCTTTCCTCATTCAGGCAAACCAGCTCTCGGGAAAGAGTATCTGGCTCTGCTGGGATGGCTGCCCTGGCTCAGGACATCCGCTCCGAGTTCTCCCGCCAGAAGCTGGACCACGTGTGGACTGACACACACTACGTGGGGTTGCAGTTCCCGGACCCGTGAGAGCTGGGAGGTGGCAGAGTGGGGTGGGGGCGCGTGGCGGGGACGGGAGGCTCACCACCTGTACTTCTCAGGGATAACCCCAACACCCTGCACTGGATCAATGCGACAGGCTGGGACGAGGAGCAGCTGCCATTGGAGGACCCCAACGTCTATTGTCCCTACAGCGCGACTGGTAACTACATGGTGAGCGCCCCTAGTGCCGCCCTCCGGAATGCTGGCCGCCGGCACTCACAGGTGCAGGACGAGGGGGCCGCGGCGAGCCCGCCTCACCTGTCCCTTCCCTCACCCCCAGGGAGAGCTGCTGTACGCCCACTATGGGCGGCCGGAGGACCTGCAGGAGCTGCGAGCTAGGGACGTGGAGCTGGCGGGGCGACTCCTGCTGGTGCGCGTGGGGAACATCAGCTTTGCCCAAAAGGTGAGGGTCTCCAAATGGGGGATGTTGCCGAGCCAGGAGGGTACCGGCTAGAGGAACCAGAGGGTCGGGACAAATGAAATGCGGCGAAGAGGCTGACTGAGGAAGAAAGGAAAGAACCACACGGCCCGTAAGAAAATGTTGGCAGCTAACAACAAAATAGGAGGTTCGGGCATCAGGCTGATGTGGAGAACTAAACACCGCCAACCAACCGGGAGGGGGTAGGAGGAGGAAGGGGCGTGCCAAAGCCCTGCGGGGGTGGGGGTGGGGCGGGGAGGCAGGGTGGGAGGGCGTGCACAACCCTTTATCCGAATTGTGGGAGCCATCATTGCTTTTCCACATTTCATCTGCCATTATAAATCCAATTTCTCTGGGAAAGATGTCCTGTAGCCACCTCTCTTCCCCAGGTGGCCAATGCCCAGGACGTTGGGGCCCGAGGAGTGCTCATATATCCTGACCCAGAAGACTTCTCTTCTGACACACACAAGCTAGGCTTGCCCAGCCACCGGGCTGTGTATGGCCATGTGAGTCTAGGTTCCCAGGACTGGCATACCTTTCTCCCTGGGCCCCAGCCCTCAGTTTCAGCATGGGTACTTGTCTCCCTACAGGTGCACATGGGAACTGGGGATCCCTACACCCCTGGCTTCCCCTCCTTCAACCAAACTCAGTTTCCTCCAGTCCAGTCCTCTGGCCTCCCCAGCATCCCAGCCCAGCCCATCAGCGCAGACATTGCTGCCCAACTGCTAAGGTGAGGGACCTCTGGAGCTCAGGAGCTAGCCCATGAGTGCCTTTGGATAGACTAGGAAAAGGCCACCTTTCCTCTGGGGGACACAATCTTTTGCCCGCAGTTTGGTGGATGGAGTCCCAGCTGGGGTTCCAGCCACACTCCCCACTTTCACTTGGCACCCTTAAGTAGGAGACACAATTGCATGGCTCCTCCAATCAGGGTACAAAGGCAGAGACCAGAAGCAGAAGGTCAGAGGTAGAGAGCAGAGGGAAGCTTTGGACCCTTCTGTGACCCAGTCTTTCTGCTACTTCTGACCCTTTGTGTCCCACCATCTTCAGGAAGCTCGAAGGCCCAGTGGCTCCCCAGAAATGGCAAGGGCATCTCCCCGTGTCCTCGTATCGCCTGGGTCCCGGGCCGAGCCTGCACCTGAAAGTCAACAATCGCAGGGTTTCCACCCCCATCAGCAATATCTTTGGCTGCATCGAGGGTCACTCTGAGCCAGGTATGCTTCTTTGCCTGCATCGCCCACACAACCTGCATGAGAGGAAATCACTGCTCCTAATCTGTGCAGGGCCACGCAAGAGGCGCAAGGGAGGGTGGGAATGGGGCCCAAGGGCAGGAAGGGTAGCTTTGCACTGAAGTAGAGGGTGCAACAAGGGTTAGTAAGGAGAAAGGCTGGCAAGTTGGGACTGGGATAGATGAGAGTGATGGTGAGGAGACCCCCTCCTCCACACTGTTCTCAGGTGGCACGGGCAGTCTTGCATAGTAGCAAGTTCCCTGGCATTGGAGGTGAGAGAGTAGGTGATACAGCAGCACATGAAAGGCAGTCAGATGGCTCTGTCATGCATCTCCAGACATGGACAGCAATGGGGAATTGAAGGTTCTTGAGCAGGAGAGCAGGGAGATGGGACAGCCCTTCAGGAAGAAGACTGTGGTACCTATGAGTGACATAGGGAGAGAGAGGTGCAGGGAGGCCTATGGGGAGACTCAGGTCTGAGGATGCTATGGAGGTACAGCCTGCTGACTAGCAACACCTGCTGACCAGGGAGGTGACAATTCTAGGCACCTTGCTGATGGAACAAGCGCTCCAGGAGGGCCAAGAGAAGAAGGGACCATTTTCTTTAGGAACTGCGGGGCTACAGGCAGAGAGCTGTGAGGGGCTAAGTGATGGAGGCTGGCAGAGGTCCAGGAGTGCTGGTGGCACCTGTCCTCCTAAGATACAGAAAAACATCTTTGTGTACTGCTGGTACTAGATCACTATGTCGTCATCGGGGCCCAGAGAGATGCATGGGGCCCAGGAGCAGCCAAGTCTGCCGTGGGGACTGCCATACTGTTGGAGCTGGTGCGGACCATTTCCTCCATGGTGAGCAATGGTAAGGCCAGGGCCTGGGTTGGGCAGAGGTGAGGTTTTGGCCCAAGCCAGGTCTGGGGCCAAGAGACAGGAACACAGCCTAGAGGGTGGACCTCAAAACTTGGCTCCCCGACGGGCCCATCCTGACAATTCACTTCACCTCCATTCCTTCATCTAGAAACGAAAGTAATAGTAGCTCTCCATCAGTCTGGGTGAGCATGAAGCAGGAGAGTGTGGAGGAGGAAGGGGGGGTGTCAGGGGACCAGGACAGAGGGAGAGCTAAGAGGGCTTGGGTTGGCCACCAGCTTGAGCCCATTCGTCGTCTCCCTTCTGCCCACAGGCTTCCGGCCCCGAAGAAGTCTTCTCTTCATTAGCTGGGATGGAGGCGACTTTGGGAGTGTGGGCTCCATGGAGTGGCTGGAGGTGATGGTGGGGTCCTGGGCTGGGTAGCTGGGCAGTAGGGAGAAGCATTAGGTGTGGGGGGCATACTCTCCTCCCGTCACTCACCCACAGGGTTACCTCAGTGTGCTACACCTCAAAGCTGTCGTCTATATGAGCCTGGACAATGCGGTCCTGGGTGAGCTATGGCCTGCCACCATCTAGGCCCCTCCCACCCACTCCTGTCCCCAGAGCCCAAACCCTGAGGCTGGCATATCTCTTTCTGTCTTCAGGGGATGACAGGTTCCATGCCAAGACCAGCCCCCTTCTGATCAACCTCATCAAGAATGTCCTGAAGGAGGCAAGAACGAGGCCCACAGGGGAGGCTGTGGGAGAAAGACAGCTGGTGGGGGCCAAGCCTGACCCATGCCCCTCACCCCTGCCGCCAGGTGGACTCTCCTAACCGCAGTGGGCAGACCCTTTATGAGCAGGTGTTCACCAGCCCCAGCTGGGAGGCTGAGGTGTAAGTAGGAGTGGGAGAGGCTGAGGTGGGGGAGGAAGGGAGGGTCCCCCCTAACCTGCCTATCCTCAGGATCCGGCCCCTACCCATGGACAGCAGTGCCTATTCCTTTACCGCCTTTGCGGGCGTTCCAGCAGTTGAGTTTTCCTTCATAGAGGTGAGACTTCCTGGCCCCGGCCCCAGATGCCTCAACCTGTCTCCACCATGCCCATGTCCAGCCCCTGTCCTGTCCCAGCAGGATAACCAGGCATATCCGTTCCTGAACACCAAAGAGGACACATATGAGAACCTGCATGCAGCGCTGCAAGGCCGCCTGCCTGCCGTAGCCCGGACTGTGGTCTTACTCATTGGGCAACTCCTCATCCGACTCAGCCATGACCACCTGCTGCCCCTCGACTTCGGCTGCTACGGGGATGTTGTTCTCAGGCACATCGGCAAACTCAACGACTTCTCTGGGGACCTAAAGGTCCAAGATGCCAACGCAGCTCCCCGCCTCTGGGGGTGGGGGGTGCTGCCTGGGCCACACGGTCTGGCCCCCCATCCCTTTAATCCCTGGACTCCCTGTCACCTAAGTCCCTAGGTCCCAGCTGGTATACTCCTAGGCCCCAAGATTTGTCTTCCCCAACCCTACAACTCCAGAGTCTTATTCCCCTCGTCCTTCATTCGGCCCTCAGCACTCTGTCCCCATGCCTTCCCGCCTCTTGGCAGGCTCAGGATCCCAGCCCCGTCCCCCAACATCTTGACCCCCATCCTAGCCCCGGGCCCTGGTCCATCTCTGTTAGCCTTTGGCTACCTACTCCAGCCTGTGCCTCTGCCCTCAGGCCCGTGGGCTGACTCTCCAGTGGGTGTACTCTGCACGGGGGGACTACATCCGGGCGGCGGAGAAACTGAGGAAAGAGATCTACAGCTCTGAGGAAAGGGATGAAAGGCTAATGCGCATGTACAACGTCCGCATCATGCGGGTGAGCTCCCATACCCAGCACGTCCCCTGCCTCTGCTAGTGGTCCTGGTGCCCCCTTCCAGGGCCCTGGCGCTGTTGACCCTACCCTCTCCCTTCTCCCATTCTGAGACCTTTCTTGAAGGGACAGTGCAGCTGGTTGGTCCTTGCCTGGGAGTGAGCCCAGTTCTAGGCATGATGCCTTCAGACTGGCCAAGCTGGGAGGATCTTAGCAACCATCAGGAAACGAGGAGGGAAACGCTCCTTAGCCACAGTCACGTGGTCAGTGTGTGGCAAAACTGGGATGATCCATACACACAACCCCCTTCTGCCCACCTCTAGAGACAAAACTGTGTACTTAGTGATCCACAGTCCAAAAGGAGAAAAGGGCTGACATTTTCACAGAATAGGTGGATGAAATCTAGAAAGGCTGCTAGAAGGAGGTGTCTTCTGAAACTTGTACTTGATCTTGAGCCCACCAGCAGTTCTGGGGGAGAAAGATGAGGCTGTCTGCTCTTGTAAAGATTTACTGTTTCTACAGTCTAAGAAACCCTATGTAGGGTCACTATGAGTCGGAATGAACTCCATGGCATCGGGTTTGGTTTTGGGGGGTTTGGATTGTTTCTGCTTAGTTTGGAATACTTTGCAGGCCTCACCTCCTGTCCAGATACACCCTTCCTCTTCTTCCATTTCCTCACCCCAGGAATTCAACCCCTCAAGTTTGGGGAAATGAGTGGGTAGAGATTGTTTGAGTTAGAAAACATCTAGGATGCAAGATTATAAGCTGGACCATCCTCATTTAGTGTGGTTCCTCACTGTCCAGCACACCCTGGTAAATGCACGCAGGGAACCCAAAGTGTGCACATTGAGCCCCCACGTGAGTACGCATGCACATGCATTCCCCCTCAACACACTCAGGGTTTTTCAGAAGGAATATGTCTTTCCCCTGCAGATTCATGTTCTCTCTCCCCTTTGCCTTTCCATGTTTTTACCCTTTGCCTTCTCCCTTGCCATCACTCATTCCTTCTTTCTATTTACAAACCTGTCCACTTTGCGCTTTCTTCCAGTCTCTGTCATCCTCCTCAGTGTCCTCTTTCTCCCCTCCTTCCTGAGCACACCCCTCTCTTTTCACCTTTCCTTTGCCCCCTCCACTTAGCTATATGTAATCTTGGGGTGAGATACAGAATTGGAAATGGTCTATGTCCTTCATAGACCTTGATTTAACCCAGGAACACAAAAAGACACCCCTGCCCCAGCAGTTGCTCCCCTCAAGAAGGATCAAGGGTACCACCTGTGTGTAAGGTGCTGGGCCAGCTAAGGGAACATTGTGGCTCTAGACCAGGGGTTGGCAAGCAACCTGCCACCTGTTTTTGTATTTGGTCTATCACAGAAAGAGGAGTGCTGGTGGTGCCATGGGTACAGCACTCCACTGTGAACTAAAAGGTCGTGTGTTTCCAACCGCCCAGCTGCTCCTCAAGGGAAAGATGTGACTAGATTTATGTAAAGATTACAACCTTGGAAACCACATGGAGCACTTCTACTTTGTCCTATGGGGATGCCAAGAGTGGGAATTTGATTAAACGGCATTAGGCCTTGAGGGACAGACAGAACTTGGGTTGGTGTAGAGAAAAGAGGACATTCCAGGGTGGAGAGCCCAAGATAAAGGTGTGGCCTGGCTTTCCTTGGGAGCAGGGGTGTGTGAACCCACAAAGCCAGAACAGACGTGTTGACTGTGGAGAGTCTTTAGTGCCAAATTCAGAAGTTTGGATTTTTAGGGTTTTGAGCAGGGAAGTGATATGGCAAAGTGGGACTTTAGGAAGGATTTAGGCTGGAGTGTAGAAGACATGGAGTGAAATGATGACTGGAATTTCCTGGGTGATGCCCAGGAAATGGTTATTTAAAAATTGCCCCCAGGTTATTCAAATATGCAGCCATATTTGAAACCCACTAGGCTTAATGGGTAAAGAGAAGAATTCACAGGTGGAAGTGGAAGGAACCAGTGAGGCTGGCAGAAATGAAGGAGGAACTAGGCCAGTGTTGAGGCCAACTCAGAAGAGAGAACACCCTCTGAGTCAGAGGGTGGCTGTCCTGTTGACCTTTGCCTCTGGGTTGTAGAGATCGGCTGAGGTGACTGGGAGGTAGGGAAAGAGGAACAGCAGGACAATAGACTATTCTTTGAAGCTTTTGACAGGGAAATGAATGAATGCAGAAGGAAGACTGGGAGACCCAGATGTGGGCATGGCAGCCCTGGAGATAGAACAAGAATGGAATCCAAAACAGCTGGAGGGGAGATTCTGCTCAGATATTGATGATGTCACAAAATAACCATTCCCTGATTGGGTAGTCAAAGGGAAGTGGGACTTGGGGAAACTGCTCAACAGTATTTGTTGTTGGTAATGACCTAAAACTGTTAGTCCTATGGATTTGTAGGGTAAGCACTAGACTGTCAGCCAATAGGTCAACAGTTGAGCTCACCAGCTGCTCCTACAAAAGACTGGAAACCTGATATGGGGTCACTGTGAGTCGGAACCAACTTGGTGACACTTAACAACAACAGCAAAACCAATAGGCAGTTGTTGTGAAGTTGATTCAGGCTCACGGGGAACATCAGGTGTCACAATAAAACTATGCTCCCCATATGGTTTCAGTGGTTGATTTTCCTGAAGCAGATCACCAGGGTTTTCTGAGTGGATTTGAACCTCCAACCTTTAAGGTTAGCAGCTGAGCATATTAGCTATTTGCTAATATGAATACCCTAGGAAGCAGAGTTCTGCTCTGACACACATTTCCTAGTGGGACACCAAATTGTGCTAGGAGCCAGGTTTCGCTATGAATTGCTGGCAGTCAGTAGGGGTTGTTCAGGCCTTCGTTCCAGGGTCAGAGACCCCACCTGACCTGATCCCACTCTTGGTGCAGGTGGAGTTCTATTTCCTGTCCCAATATGTGTCGCCAGCTGACTCCCCATTCCGCCACATCTTCCTGGGCCGTGGAGACCACACACTTGGTGCCCTACTGGACCACCTACAATTGCTTCGAAAGGGTGACTCCAGGGTCCCGGGAGCCTCCTCCCCTGGGGTAGCATCCAACCCAGGCTTCCAGGAGAGCCGATTCCGTCGCCAATTGGCCCTGCTGACCTGGACACTGCAGGGAGCAGCCAACGCACTTGGGGGAGATGTCTGGAACATTGACAACAATTTCTGAAGCCCACTAGGGGTCCCACATACCCTTGTCCTGCTTCAGAGTGTTTCCTCACCCGGTTGAGTGATTTCAGGATGCTGAAGGTGCCCACATACCACCTCTCATTGCTGACTGAGATTCTCAGCCCTTCCCGTTCCCCAAAGCTCTGATCCCAGCACACCAATGTGCAGGTGCTCCTGGCTTCCCCTTTGTAGGAGTAGGTGAGCAGAGTGCCTTCCATAATGTGAAGGTGACACCAATCACAGACTCCCCACACCTTGAGACCACTCTTCAAGGTCTCCTGGGTCCTGAAGCCTGCCCCGGCTCTTGCTAGAAGAGATTGCCAGACCTTATAGTCCACATGTGGAAGGGGTATGGGTTTGGGACGTCAATAAACCACATGTTGACATTCTTTTGTGTCTGACCATCTTTATACTTCTTCACCCTCACCTCCACCCAATCATGTTCTCCTTGAGACCTGGGGAGAGGCTGGGCAAAAGGGGCCAGAAGAGGGTGTGTGAAAATGTCTTCATAGAGAAAATTCTGAGCTGTACCTATTAGCTTATGAAATCACGAAGATCTGTTCTCCAAAGGGGAGCATGGTGGCTCTATAGGATAAGCACTGGACTGCGAACCACAAGGTCCATAGTTTGTGCTAACAGGAGAAGGATGAGGAAACCCTATACAGGGTTGCTATGAGTTGGAATTGACATGATGTCATTTAACAAAGATTGCAGTTCAAATCTACCTAATAGTACCATAGAAAAAAAGATCTGGATGTCACTGCCATAAAGATTGCAGGTAAGAAAACCCAAGTGGAAGCTCTACTCTGCAACATGTGGGAGGCGAAATCGACTTGATGGCAACGTTTGCTTTTATTCTCAAGTAAATGGACTCAAGCATGACAACCATCGTGAAGACGGTCCATGTTCTGTTCTGCATGGGGTCACCGTGAGTCAGCGCCAACTCCATGGCAGCTGACAACAACATGCTCCAAAGACCACCATGGGATGGGGGACTGCCTCTGGATCTCCTGGGACCAGTGCCTGTGTCCAGGCCTCTGCTGGGGAAAGAGTGTGGCAGTTATGACCAGGTCAAGGCAAGGAAGCTGGCAAGCTGAGCACATCAGGGGAAGTGGCGAGAGGTAGGACCCTTATACTCCATTGGCCTACAGGACTTCACTTCAAAACACAAATTTAAAGATAAAATTATTAAGGATTTTAAAAGGATGGCATAGGGCATTAAACCCCAAGTGTAGGGTTCCATTCTGAGCACAGAGCTGCTGAGATTGAAATGGTCACAAAACCATTAGGTTATTATCCCTAGCTGAGCTATTCACCCCCACCCCGACCCTGGGAGCCCCTTTGCTCTGTCTTTGTCCAGTGAAGGTGAAGACCATGAGGTATGAGTCACATGAGAGTTGTTGTTATGAAGTGCCGTCATCAGTTCTGACCCATAGTGACCCTGTATAGGGTTTCCGAGGAGCAGCTGGTGACCTTGAGCTGCAGACCTTGTGGTTTAAAACAACTTTGCAGTCCATTGCATTAACCCACAGCGCCACACCAGGACTCCAATTATAAGTGAGGTCATATAGCACCATACCACTAGTGAATTTTGGGGATTTGGGCACTGGTGGCACTGTGGGATAAGTATTGGGCTGCTAACTGCAAGGTTGATGGTTCAAACCCACCAGCTACATCACAGGAAGATAAGGTCTGCTCGTGTAAAGATCGACGGTCTTGGGAACCGGGAACCTTAAGCAACAGTTCTGCTCTGTCTTGTAGGACCACCGTGAGTCAGAATCCACTCAATGGTGGGGCGCGTTGGTTGTTGATTGAGCACAACCAGCTCAGTGAGAATGGTAACTTGGTGAGAGGGATTTGCTGGCCACGGGGAGAACCATCTCATACTTGTAGATACAGACTGCAGCCCCGTCTCTCTGCTGGCTGTTGGGACCACACTGGGTATGGGAGAGACAAAACTCCTGAGACAGGGAGGGGTGGGGGGGGTGCAGGTCCCAAAGTAAAGCTGGAGCCACTGATAATCTTCCAATAGCAAAGCAAACCGTGTTTGTCTTAACAAAATGTTCTTGCTGATTCTTCTCCTCTAACAGCCAATCTGCCCAGTGTCGCTGCTCCTTTTTTTTTTTTTTTGTCTTTTCCCCCAACTTCTTTACTTCCTCTTCTCACGAATCTGAAGGAGGGCAGGTCGGTTGGAAGCCTGCCTTTTGTGGATCTCTTCTTTTCCTGTGCCTCAGTTTCATCAGGCACTGGCACTTCCCCCCCCCCCCCCCCATCTTGGCAAGGATTTGGTTGTTTGGATCCATGGGAGTTGGAGTCTTAAAGGAGAAACTAAATAAAAATCGACAATAAGAAAAAAAGGCCGAAAAGGATTCTGGAAACAGCATCCAGGCAACCCTAGCGAGACTGAGTTTTACAGCCGGCAGGAATCAGGCAGTATTTATATTTCTTTCTTTCTAACTAAAGGGAGTTGATTTAGGGATAGAATTAATTATATTTTAGGGCCAAGGGAGATCTTAAGAATTACTTGTTCAATTGCTTCATTTTAGAGGCAGAAACTGAAACTCAGAGAAATTCAGTGACTTGACTTGCTAAAGGTTGTACAGTTTCCTTGGAGCAGTACCAGCATTAGCCCCCAGGCCCTCTGGGAGAAGAGTTGGGAGGAAATGAAGCAATCTGTGTATCAGCAAAGAAGAGAAAAGAAAAGGCATGCGCCCAAGATTCCTCTTTAACTTTAAAAATTGATTTTATTCAAATTGGAAAATGAGTACAAATCCATGGGTTTTTGGGGAGGTGGTCATCAGGAGGGGGGGATAGGAAGGAGAGAAGGAGGGAGAAAGGAACAGCAGCTGAAGATCTGAGCATCACAGTGGTTGTTTCCGGTTCCTGTCCAGGGAGGCTAGGGGTGAAGGCTGAGCAGGGAGCTCAGGTACGGAGGAACACCATGGTGAGAAGGCCTAGAGTAGAGAGAATGAGATGAGAAGGTCACAGGAACTGTCTGATGCTATTAGCTCTCCCTCAGGCCCTGGGTCCCCTTTCTCTGGGATCTAGATCCCCGTAAGACTGTACGCACCCAAGACATAGGCTGCCACCAACTTCTGTCCCTGGGAGACATGCAGGACTTGGGGCAGCTGGCTGTCAAGTTCACCCTGGAGTGGGAGGAGCAGGAAGGCCACGGAGACCACGCCCGCCAGCAAGAAGAGGAGGAAGGAGCCAGTGGCCAGTTGTGGGTGGGTATCTGGGAAACAAGGGTCAACAGAAGCTCCAGCCCCCAATCCTGCCCAGGCATTACCCAAGGTCCTACAAGGAGCGGGCTGCAGACAGAGGCAGAGGCCACTTTTTCTTGCTTTCCCAAGACCACTTCAAGGGCATGTTCCTCTCTGGAGCTTCTGTCCCACACAGCCACAAGAAATCCTCTTCCTCTAGTCCCTAAATATTATTTTTGTCTCCACTCTACCTCGATGACTATGCATGCACCTATTTGACATGCAGAAACTTCCCTCTAACTCCCTCGGGGAAGCATGCACCTGAAGACAGCATGATTGTTCAATACATGTTTCTTATTGAACAGAACTAAGTTGGCACGTGATGGGAGCACTAAAGTTAGAACATCTTAAAGTAAAAGCCCAAAGCCAGAGGAACTGCACACTCTGTCTTCTAGCAAAATCACCTCCACCAAAAAGGCAAAAGTGCAAACCGGAAGATGGCTCCAAATCCAATCCAGCTCATCTGTAGGTCAGTATTAGTCAAGGTCAGCAGTTCCAAACTACCAGCGGTTCCGCGGGAGAAAGATGAGGCTTTCTGCTCCCGTAAAGATTTACAGCCTCGGAAACCCTGTACAGGGTCGCTATGAGTCGGAACCGACTCTACGGCACACAGCCAGCCACCTCCCTACTGAAGTCAAGTATCCCCGTCCCCAACTCACTCTCCTGGAAGTGTCTGGCTGTGGGTGGTGGTGTCCAGGCAGGAGGCCCCTGGGGGGATCCCGAGTTCTGCTGTGCGTGAAGCTCCAGGGGGTAGGCTGGAGCTCTCAGAACTGAGGAGATGTCCTTGCGCCCTACCACTCGGCTCTCAGCTCCCTCCAACAGTTCGATGCGGAAGCGGTCCTGCACATCATAGTGGCTGGGAATGGGGGCCACATGGCGAATCACACTGATCCCAAGGTAGAGAAAAGTCCAGTGAGAGGTGATACCCAAAGCAGATCCAGACCCCAAAGTTTCGCCCTACCCTCCCAGGAGCCTTTCCCTCAAGGACGAAGACAGAAGGTGGGAAAAAGAGGTTGAAGAGAACGAGGTCTCAGACTTAAAAGGCAGTTTGGTAATTCACATGGGACCCCTGGTTTTCATCAGCCCCCCAGTCCTCCCCCAACTCACATATCAATGCAGGACTGAGGCTTCACATATCCTTCGGCATCGAATACTGAGTATTTGGCAGGTGCTGTGCACAGGACTGAATGAAGACACATAAAGATCTCTACTATTGCCTCATAGACCAGCCTTGCCCTCAGAAAGACGCTGGAGTCCATTTTGCCTTTCACCCCGAGACTGGATCCTGTCCAGACGTCCCCCCCACTCCAGTGCCCTGCCACCAGTCCCCAGCTCCCTAGCACGAGGTCCCCACCCCTTCACCTCGGAAGCGAAGCGCAGCTCCCGTGGGGTTATAGAGGGTCAGCAGCTGTCGGGGTCCACTCCGCTGGTCTGCCCTGAATACTAGATCAGGGGGGAAGACGAGGACCGGGACAACGGGCCCCAAGGAAGGAGGGGTGACCCGGGGTCCCCGCTCAGGGGTTCCCAGTCCCACCAACTCCTGTTTCTGGGGCGCCCCACGGCGCATGCAGGCTCTGGGCGGTTGGACATCCGAGGGCAGAGCTCAGGGGACAGGACCTGGAGTCTAGAGCTGGGGGACGAGGAAGGCGAGAGGGGCCAGTGAATGGGATGAGATCGTGGAGCAAGGTGTGGACTGATGACTCCACCTCAGAACCTCACCTCGCTAGATGGGCCTCGCGTGCTGCCAGGCCCAGGAGATCCAATCCCTTCCCCTTTCCAACTCAGTCCTGGGTGCCTTTAGACCCCGCCCCCAAGCCCCACCTCGCTCGCCACGCCCACCCCTCTAAACCCTGCCCCTCGCTTCTTCTCTGCCCGGCTCCTCGTCTCCATAAACCCTGCCCCTGCGCAGGCCTCGCCCCTTCCGGGCGTCCCAGGCCACCCGCCCTCTTTCTTCCGCTACAGTCGGCCTGCTCCCACGCCCTCTTTTGGAGCCGCTTTTTGCACCTCCTGTTCACTAGCTGTGCCCCGAGCTCTCCCTGATTGCGGGCCGAAGCTTCTTAGTGCTTTCTCCTCCGAGCAGCCTCTCGTTGTATTAGTCTCACCTTTTGTTCACAGCACCTGACAATCAACTTGTGGCCTGACCAAGGATGCAGTCTTCTCAAGAGTCCCCCCCCTCTGTCGCCCGTGATTGGCTCGATCCCAGTGATGTCAACATTTTATAGGCGTCTCAGGTTACGAGAACGCCTGCCTTATAGGATGCCGGAGAAGACAGAGGCGGGACTGGAAGCTGGGCCTTTGTTCCTGCCTCCCCACTCGGAGTCCCAAACCGTCTCTTCTATAGAGGAAGCGTTTACTCCCACGCCAATTCCAAGGCTCACGTAGACGCCAAGACTGGAGTCCTGATGTGTCGCTGTAAGATAAGCACTGGACTGCTAACTGGTCGGAAGCCCTATACAGGTCGCTCTGAGTCAGAACCCACTCCACAGCACTTAGCTAAGGAGCTCTGGGCACTAACCACGAGGTTGGCGTTCAGACCCACCAGCTGCTCAGGGAGAAAGATGAGGCTGTCTTTTCCCATACAGAAACCCTATGGATCAGGGAAAAACCCCTTAGAACTGAAACTTAAAGGGAAACCTCAAGCGATCTAGTAGGCTCACTGGGTCTAGTAGACCACCTGGGTCTACTTGTGAGTGAAAGTGAGAGAAATGCAGCAGTGAAGACATGGGTTGAGTTTGGCCATGTTCCACTGACTCCCGTTGACCATGAAATGAGAGAAAAGAGGAAGGACTGGCTGGTCTGAAGTTTAGGGAGATACGTGAACTCCTGAGCCCATGGGAACTGAGCCCCTGGGGACTAGGGGCCATGGGAACTGAGCCCCTGGGGACTAGGGCCCCTGGGGACTAGGGCTGAGAGTGAAGCAGCCAGCTGATTGGAAGTGTACTGAACTTCCAAACTTGGAGCTAGTACCCATTTGACCTAGCTTGGATGACTAGCTGAGCAGAACTTGACCAGATGAAGATAGAAGTGTTTAATTTCACTCAGCATTATTTCCTTAAGGTTCATCCATGTTATGGGGTGTTTTGTAGTTTTATCATTATTCTTCAAGGTAGCGTAGTATTCCATTGTGTGTATGTACCAGAGTTAGATTATCCATTCTTCCACTGATGGGCACTTGGATTGTCTCCAGTTTTTTGCTATTGTGAATAGTGCTGCGATGAACATTGGTGTGCTTATATCTACTCACGTTCTGACTCATACTACTTGTAGATGTATACCAAGTAGAGGACTTGCTGGATCATAAGGTGTTGATTTTCAGTTTTCTGAGGTAGTACCATACCATTTTCCAGAGTGATTGAACTAATTTGCAGTCCCACCAGCAATGTAGAAGGGTCCCAGTCTCTGCACACCCTCACCAGGATGTTGATAGGATTTTATGATTCAATTGTGAGTAATTGTTAGCAGGATTCATTGTGATTGTCACAACTGGAATTGTAGAAGCTGTGTAACTGAAAGTGGGGAGCAGTTGATATTTCACTTCAGAACAGATATTCCCAGGACCTTCAAGAAGGAAGAGCGTGAGTGGAGCGTGAGCTCCTACCTAGAAAAGTGGTATGGAGAGAGAGAGCAACTATGGGCTTTAGGCCCATGGAGTGAGTAAGGCTGTGTACCTGCGGGTAAGGAGGCTGGCTTACAGAATATGCCCTACCCTTTGGACATTTAAATGAATATATATATATATATTTTGTTTTGTATATGTACAGCAAATATTTTTGCATTGTTTGTGAAATATAAGATGTAAAAAGCAAGCCACAGGGAGCAAATAGAATAACCTTTGTAGTTGGGAAGGGACTATCTATAATCATTGAGATGAAACAAAGTGTATAATTTGTTTAATGTAAAGCTGGTGATCTTGTCTGTAAACATTCACTCAATTCACAATAAGAAGTTAAAAAATTTTTTTTAATAAACAAGGTGACAATTTTTTAAAAAAGAAAGAAACCTTAGAGAGCCGTTTGTTCTCCGGTATGGGTAGCTCTGAGCTGAGATCTGATGACAGTGAGTTTCTGGAATTAGAGGCCAGGAGCCCTAGGGGCATAATGGTCAAGGTCGGCTGTTCAAAGCTCCCCAGCTGTTCCCAGGGGTGATCTGCTCCATGCACAGATTACAGCCTAGGAAACCCTATTTGACAGAGTAGAACTATAGGGTCGCTCTGAGTTGGAATCTACTAGTTGGCACACAATGACAGCTGGAGGTTACTACCAGTAGGGACTAGGATCTCAGCCCAGGACTCTTCTCCTATTTCCTGCCTTCCTACGTAGGCCTGGGAAACCACATTTTCACAGAGAATTAAGAATTACCCTGCCAACAACATCATCCCAAAAAATCTTCAACTTTGTTTACTCCCCTTTTACAGATGAGAACGGTTCAGCAAGGTGGCAGATCTCACCTTATTAATCACTCAGCAGCAAAACAAGCACAAATTGTTAATATTATTTGACAGCCTCCCCTAGACACCCTATCAAGTAAAGATCCCCTCATCATCCTCTCCCCTTAGTATAGCACTATTTGACATCATGTTTATTTTATTCTCTCTCCCCAAGAGCAGGGACAGTTTTGACTTGGTTGTGCCTTCAGCACCTAGAATGGTTCCTGAATTTGGAAGATACTTACAAATTCTTTTTGGAATAAAGAGTGAGTAGGATGAATTTGGAGCAGAAATCTGATTGAAGTTAGGAAGCAAGCTCTGGAGACATCTATGGAAGAGAATTGCAGACAGAGGAACCAGCAGAGTCAAGCAGCTCTGAGTGGAGGTAGACATGTTCAAGGGGCTAGAACAGAGGGCACAGGGAGACAAAAGAAAGAGATGAAGATGAAGGAGGAGTGAGGATGAAGACCACTTAGAGTCTTATAAACCACACTGAAGATTTTCGATTTTACCACCTTTTTTTTTTTTTTTTTTTAATAAATTTGTGGGAAAATGGAATTTCTCCATGAACTTTTTGAAGCCTTCTCATATTTTGAGGCAGATAGGAAAGTTTTGAACAGGGGAGGGACAAGATTGTTCTGTATAGCAAACAGTTAAATGAAAGGATGAAAAGATAGCTCCACGATGAGCCTCAAAACTACAGAAATGAAGATCTGATGCCAGCCTTAGTCAAGAAACATTTATTTGGATGAGAAAGGGGGCTGAGAGCCAGAGGCCCAAGGTGGTCTGGTCTCAGACCGGGGACCCAGCTGCCCGCACAGGCTGAGCAGGACACTTCCTCTTGCTCAGGTTGGTGAGGATCTGGTTCTGGTTGGGTCGGTAGAGAACCACAAAGCTCTCTGGAGGAAGGACTGGACCTCTGTTCTCTTCCACCTGACCCATAAACAGGTAGCTGGACCCTGGAGGAATGGGAAAGGATGGAGAGTTTGGATACTGAAACCCAGTCAGCTAAGTCTTCCCATTTGTATGTGGCTGAGCCCCCACTCCGCATTTTCCATTTCCTTTACCTTTCTTCATGGGTGGGCACTGCTTGCAGGGCACATAAAACTTCAGGGAGGTATCAGTGGCTGGAGAGGGCAGGTCCAGGCCTTCGGTTTTATAAGCATCAATGAGGTTGACAGTGACTGTGAGGCCGTCACCTGGGCCCCGCACCATGGACTTCACTGTTGCTGTCACCACTGTAGGAGAGCAGGGTATGGTGAGGAGACAGGAGGCCTGGGCTGGAACCAGGAGGGGTGGCTTTGGGGACAGGAAGTGGTTAGAAGAGCAGGACCCCTACTGGGGCTTCTTACCTAAGTTGCTGGCACAGAAGTTGCTCTGTAAGGTGCCTGTCCGCCGGCACTGCTTTGGACAGGGGGTGCTTGGAACATCTAGGGCAGAGGGGAGCTGTTTGTGGAGGATAAACTACACTCAGGTGGCACTTTCCCTTAGCAATCTCATAGATTTGAATTTGTTCCAAGCAGCAGTCTAGAGAGGGGCTGAAATGATTCATGCCCTGGGTGCCACTAGAAACGGTAGGGGGGAGGGGGGCCAGGGGCCGGGCAGTGAACAGTTGATAGTCCCCATGGCTGTTTCCACCACCAGCTGGGAGAGTCAGCAATTTAAAAGAAATTGCAGGCTCTGTAGGGCAAACACTGATCTGCAGACCAAAAAGTTGGTGGTTCCAGCCCACCAGCCGCTCTGTGGGATACAGATAAGACTTTCTGCTCCTGCAAAGAGCTGCAGACTCAGAAACACTATACAGGGTCGTTAAGAGTGGGAGCTGACTCTAGGGCACTTGACAATAACAACAATAACAACTAGTTTCTGTCGATATGCCTCTGGTTCCAACCCCTGTCCAGTTCTAGGTCCCAGCACCCACCTTTGGTGCAGAGAAGGGTTAGAGTGTTGTGTGAATGGAAAATGTTTGGACAAGCCAAGGGAGGAACTCTGAAACAGTTCTCTTCCTCTCTTCCTTCCCCTTCCCAGACTCACCAGGGTTCACTGGGATCACCTCTGCCTCAGGCAAGGCCTTAGGTTTCTCAGCAGGAGGGACTTGGGACTTAGTAGGGGGTTTGACTTTGGGCCCGGTCCCGGGCTTAGGGATGGGCGGAGGGCCCTGGAATGGGCCTGCTTCCTCTGCACCCTGAGGGAGGATCCTATAGGTGGCTGAGAAGCCATCGGCTGTGACACTGAGGTCGGAGACGAACTGGACAAGGAGCTCATTCCCTTCAGAGGAGATGGGGCTGAGAGGGGGATAAGAAAGGTGGGGAAGTGGGGAGGTCAAAGGAAGCCGCTGCACACCCCTCCTGCAACCCCGCCATCCGCCAGAGTCTTTAAACTCTCTCCCACTCGCCTCTTAACCCGCCCACCCAGACCTGGTGGTGCAAAGCATTCTCAGCCCTTGGCCACTCCACTCTGGCATTTGGGTGTGGGGTGGGTGAAAGGTGCTCGCTCAGGTTCACCCCTTCAACTAAGCCCCACCCCAGCAGCAGCACCGTCCCCCATTTGGTACTAGGTGAGGTGGTGATGCCCAGCTCCCACCGACCTCCCAGATACTGCCCCCTCACCCGGGGACCGTGTCTCCGCAGAACTTTCCCACCCTCTTGGCGTCATCGCTCACAGCTCCGTTGAACACGCTGACTGAGTCATAGCGGCAGTAGGTGTCCGGCTCCAGGTCAAACTTCCCGAAGGTCAGCGCGATCACCTAGTAGCGAGCGGAGAGAGACAGAGGCTGCGCGGTGGGACCTGAGCGGCTAGAAGGCACCGGAGTCAGCACCTCTGACCTCCTCTTCCATTGTCACTTCCAGCGTCCACTTGAGCCCACCCTCAGGTTGTTAAACCAGTGCTCAAAGGATTACACACCCTTGAAACTATGCAGTGTCCCCACCCCAAACATTGTCTTGTACCTCGCTCACCACAAGGGTCATTATTTTGTAAATTTTGTTTGTGCACAAACAAGGCCTGGGGCTCTGTTTGGCTCCCCACAGGCGTAAGACCGAACCAACTAGACAGCCCCTAACATAGCAAGCTCAGGGCCCGGGACATAGTAGATGTTCAATAAATGTTTGTTGGCTGCTGGCGACCTGAGGGCAGCTCGGCTGGAAGGTAAGGAAAAAATACCTGGTCCGGGGGAGCGATGATGTGCCAGGAGCAGCTGATGCCCGGAGGGTAATCGGATTCAGGCCAGTTAGGCGTGGTCAGGGTTCCCTGGACCTTCTCCAGCCGACCCCCGCAAAATTGATGCTCTGAAGAGGGGAGAGAATAACGGGGGTAGGGGGCCGTGGAGACCCTCGGTCAGCTGGGGGAGCTCTAAGACCGGGAGTCTGGCAGAAAGATCAGATGTCTGGGTCTTAGGGGGAGGGGAAAAAAAGGGAGGAGGTAAGTTAGCAGAGTGGGGGTTGGGTGGGAGGAACTGGGTCTGGGGACTCTGGTACCTCGGTTGCCCAGGCAGGCGGGCGACGGGAGAAGGGCATTTGACTGGACACACTCCCTTCTTGTCCCTCCCCTGACCCGCAGCCACACCGCTCCTCTTCCCCTGGGAGATCTCATCTCCCCAGCCCAGCAGAAAAGTCTTTTTTTGTGTAAGCTGAAGAGCCCTCACGCTCTGAGGGTGCCCTGGATTTGGGGCGGCCCCTCCATGGAACATTTGAAGGGGGACTTTTGCTGCCAGGAGGGGTGATGGGACCGCAATCGGGAGCCTGGGACTGGGTGTGAGGGGCTCTGGGACTGGGAACTTAGTCCCCTATCCCTGGGGTGCCCCCACACCCATCTAAAGGAGCCCGATTGCGGACGGGGGCGGGCAGTTACTCACCGTCCCAGTAACCCCAGGCCGCCCATTCCACCCGTGGGTCGGTGACCCATTTCCGCCTCGCGCCTGGGGGGGGGCCTAGAAGAGGGGGTAGGTAGGAGCGGGAGGGGGAGAGAAGACGGGGAGGAGGGACTGAAGGGGCAGTTAGTGAGGGAAAAGGACCAGGGAAATAATAGGGACCCTAAACTCTTGGGCACAGGGTTTATTTTAAGGGTAGAAGTTAAGACTGGGGGCGGGGCCTGAGCCAGGGGCGGGGCCAGGATTGGGGGTTGGGCAGGCGGAGGTGAGGGAGGTCTCACCAGTGCCGGAGGTGGCCCGCCCGCTGTACCAGAGCAGGAAGCCTCGTCCTCCTGTGCCCTCGTCTGCAGTCATCTTCAGGGTCACCTGGTTGCCAGGGGCGACTACTGGCGGTGGTCGGAAGGTCCCGCAGAAACGTCCGAGACGCTTGCCAGAGGTCCCGGAACCAGCAAAAACCTCCAGAGCATCGTAGCGGCAAGCGGGGTGCAGCTCCAGGTCAAAGACACGGAAGGAGAGGGACACAGTCTGGCCCTTAGGGACCTGACAGCGGGGACAAGGGCAGGGAGCCCCCAAAGTCAGGCTACATACAACTCAAGCGGAGAACATCTCCCCGTCCCCAAGCGTTTCCTTCAGAAACTGGCCTGAGTGGTTAAAGGGCAGTACCGGACGCCCAGGGATCAGACAGAAGGACTGAGCTCTGCAGGCCGATTTATACAGTGATAAGATTTGAGGGCTTTGGAGGGGATTTAGAAAGGGCAGGAAAGAAGTTGGGAATGGAGAATTAGGATTTATGATGACCAGAGGGGCCTTCTCACCGTGACTGTCCAGATGCACTCCTTATTGGGGGGGTAGAGGTTGGGGAAACCCTCACTTGCCACGTAACCTGACTCCCCAGTCACTTCTCCTCCGCACAGGAACACAGGTCTGGAGAATGGGAGAGGGGTCAGTCATGAATGTTGGCAGTAGTGAAGAGGATGGGGAGCCAGGTAGATAAGTAGAGCAAAGGAAACATTCAAGCAGCTTACAAGGAAAACGTGGGACCAGCGACTCAGGCATCCCTCCAACCCCCCAGAGTCCCCACCCCTACTCCAACTGGAATTCCCGGAATCCTCCTCAGCCACCCCCTTCCTCTCTCCCTGCTTGAGCTGCCTGGCAGTGAAGACAGAGCTGACTAACTACTTCCAGATGTGGACACAGCCATGAGGCGAGTCTGGGGGTGGGGTGGGAGAGAAGGGGCACAGGGACAGAGCAGCAGCAATGGCCCACAAATTGAACCTGGGCATCAGGTTCCCTGAACTCCCAACCTCTGCCCTGCTCCCATTCAAACTAGCTGAGTATGACTTGTAAGTCTACTTGCCTTCCCATCCCTTCTTCTGCCCCTATTAGAATTTCCTCCTGAAACCCAACTGTCCAGCTACCAAGCAAGTTCAAAGGGTAGGCCTTCTCAGGGCTCCATTGGGACCAAGGGTTGGGTAGACGGGGAGCGCTGCAGGGCTGAGAAGGGGATGGAAGAATGGCAAGGTGGTGAACTGTGGGAGACCTCGGTGGGTGATCTTGTAGCAGAAAGGAAGTACTTGGGATCCATAGAAATGGGGTCTGTGGACAATCTGGTGTGTTGCCAAGAAGAATCCCTAAGCTCCCACATGCAGACCCCCCAGGAGTCAGGGCTCTGGAAGCTCACTGGAGACCTACCTGGTGTAGTTGGGGGTCTGACCCTGGGCAAGATGCAGCAGAGCCCAGCCCGTGAGGAGGGGCCCCAGGAAGGAGGCTGTGGCAGCAACGAGCTGCATGGTTGGGGGGAGGCACTGGGGTCCTCAGGACAGAGGCAGCAGTCGCGTTTAGCAGCGGCAGTGGCGGCAGCAGGATAATCAGTGCCAGATGCGGCAGCCTCGGGAGTGTGGGCGTGGGGACTGGCCAGTGGGGCGGATGGGATCGGGGAGGCGGGACAGGGAAGCGGATCTGGGACAGTGGCAAGTCCAGGGGCCTCTCTAGGTCTAGGACACATATTGACCTAAGTCGGGGGTGGAGCAATGGGGGAGCCTCAGGCCCTCAGCCAGAATCCAGGCACTAAGTAAGGACAGCTAGGATCTCCCACTCCGTATCCAGTGTCCAAGCATCCTGCAAACACAAGCTCTGGTCCTTCCGCACTCTGCTTCCTCAGCACCTGGGCAAGTTCTTCCTTGGACTCTTAGCACCCTCTTTTTGATCACCCCACCTCTACTATTGTCCACTTACAATCCCTACTGTCTGGTCTCCACCCCCAGGAGATGTTCTCTCCCAAATAACTGGAAGTGCAGGAATGGATAGGAAGGAGGCATGGATGTAGCTAATGAGGGTCCCTTCTACTGAACCTTAAAAGTAAACTTGTGCTTTTCTCAGCCAGGACAGCCCGAGGGATGAAGGAAAAGAGCAGCTACCTGGGGGTGGCTGAGGAAGAGGAGGGGGGAGACCAAAGGAGCACCCGTCTACGTACCACACCAGGAGGATAAGAAAGACCATCCTGGGACAGAAACAACAGTAGAGAAATGAGCTTTCTGAAGCCAGGAGACTCCCCAGAGGAGTGTCTGCAGGCTAGTCTGTTCCAGAAGGTCCAAAAAGACCTGGTCCAATTGCGGGAGGCACGGGCTGCCAGCTCAGCAGCAAGTGGAAGCAGAGCCAATTCTGCTAATGCCCCTGCCACCCCCACCCCCCCACAGGCTCCCCCACCATCACTAGACTTTCCCACCCCACCCCCACTGCCATTTTGCTCCCTGGGCCCAGGGTTCCAAACCAGACCTCACTCAGCCTTTTATTCTATTTGTCCATCAAATCTCTTGTCCATGATAGCCAGGTTGGGGGCCCCTCCTGGGCAGCCCCCAGAACATTTTATAAAAAAGTTCCCTGCCCCACCCTGGCATGTCTAGCAGTCCCTCCCCACCCCACCCCCATGCGCACACACAGTCTTCATTGCTGTCCCTCCATCCCTCCTTAGTCCCTGGCCCAGAGCCAGACTTTCTGTCGAGGGGTGAGGCTAGAAGAGCAGGTCAGCTCTCAGGGCCCGGGGGGCCTGCGCCAACCCCTCCGGCAGCCCTCTGCAGCATGTCCAGCGCCTCCCAGAAGAAATCCTTTTGTGCGGCCATCAGGGGCATCCAGCCCACGATCTCCTTCATCTTCTCCATGCGGTCCTGCAACGTGGGGCAACTGTGGATCTGGCTGAGGTACTCCTCACAGGCCTGGGCTGTGCCCCCAGGGTCCTGGGGGGTCCCAGTCCCGAGGCTGGGCTCAGGAATCCCCATCCCCCTGCTGGCTGGCAGGTCTCGGTAAGCCAGATGGTGCTCGATGTCGTGGTTGGACAGTATGTAGAGACACTCTCTGGTGGAGCAGAGGGAGCAGGCACACTGAGGGACCTTGGAGGAGAAAGGGGCGGGGCTGAGTGGGGCCCTTTATTGCAGGACTGTGAGGTTCCTTCCTCTCAAACCAGCCCAGATCTGCAAGTAAGCTGACAGCTGACTGAGCCCCAGGGTTGTGTAAGGTCAGAGAGAGCTGGGAGTCAAGGTGCCTGGCAGAGAAGGGAGACAGGGGATGGAAATGGGCCCCTGGGTCCCTGCGGAAGGCCCAGCTACAGTCCTGGGGGCTCCCCAGCTCTTGCTCCTGCCCTCCCTGGCTGTCTGATTGCCTGACCTTGACGTGGAGCTTGACGAAGGAGGCACTCCCCTTTGGCCAGCCAGGGAGGCGGCCTCCAGCCCCACAGCCGCAGCCCAGCAACTCCTTGCTGAAGTCGGCACCCTGGCTCAGTACCAGGGAGTGGTTGAGCCCACACCACAGGGCAATGGGGCGCTGCAGATAATATACCTAAGGACACAGGACCAGGGCCCCTGAGGGGGGGAACACCAAGGCCTGGGACCCAGGGTAGGAAAGGCTGACAGGAAAACTCAAGCAAGGATGTAAAGAAGGGAGGGGAGGGGATGCTGAGAGCAGCTGGGCACCACTGTTTCCTGCTTCTTGGGACAATTGTCCCTAACAGGCTGATCAATGGGGTTACTCCAGCATTTCTGTTGGCACTTCAGTTCTGATCCCCAGAAATACAGGCTCTGAGGCAGGGCCTGCTAACCACTCCCTCCTTCTCACCTATCCAGCCTCAGGGGGAAGGAATTTTCTTCCTCTTCTTTCTGTGTACCATTCTCAATACAATTTTTTTTTTCCCCACGTCTTCTTCCCTTCCCACTCTAGCCTTTAAAAATGGGCACCCTATTTTGAAGAAGAGTCCTGGTGTGGTGCTGTAGGATAAGCACTGGACTGCTAACTGCAAGGGTGGTGGTTCAAACCCACCAACCACTTCTCGGAAACACTACACAGGGTCGCTATGAGTTAGAACCCACTCTTCACAGTTCTGGAGAAAAAACAAACAAACAAAAAAAACCACCTGACTTCTGCTGCTTCCTACAGGACCAGTCTGGATTGGCCACACTTTTGTTCCTTCCCGCATCCAGTCTCTCCAGAGCCTCCTGGGACCTGGCTTCTCTCTCTCCTAAGCTACTGCCAAGCTCGCTCCACACGCGGTGCCAATCTCAGGGCCTCTCCTGAGACTGTCAGTGCCTCAGGTTTGAGAGCATGGCTAAGTCGTTTATAGTCATTAGAGACAAAAAGGCAAGCAAACAATTAAAAGTTCCTTCTCACTGCAATTATCTACACAGTAAATAGTGTATTTTAAAACACAAGTAGGCTTATATTATGCAAACCACTTCAGAAACAGGGCTTTCACCTAAAAACACGGCAGACATGAACATCTTTCCCATTTCAGTAAGTATGGGGGAAGGGGGCTTCAAAAACTTTGTGGAAAAAATGGGGTTCAAATATATGGAATATCCCCTCAAAGTTTTTGAAGCCTTTGTCCCCCATATTCCCACAGTACCGTGGTCACCATGAACTGCTTTCCCTTTGTTTGAAACTTTCTGCTCCCGTGGCTTCAGGGAAAGACAATTCCTCTTTATTCCTTCCAATGGTGGCCACTCCCTGAGATTTGCTCTTGTCTTTTATAGTTTCAACCTTGTTCCAACGTGGACTCTCTAATTGTTAGGTGGGCATTTCCACATTACTGCTTTATTATCACTGCAGAAAGTCCAAGTCATCCGCCTTCCCTTTGCTTAAGGCAGCCTCCCTTTCTAACTCAACGTCTATGGGCAAGGGATCTATTTCCAGAGCCTATTTCCTACTCCGCTGCACATCTCAGAAGTTAGCAGGATCTCTACGTTTTCTAACCACTGGGCCCTTGTTTCAAACACAGCCTTCACTCACTCATGTGGAAGGTTTCCCACTCCCAGGCATCTTCAGCCATCTTCTCTGGGGAGCCTTTTATTGCTGTGGACCCTGCAGTAACTCCTTTCCAAATCTCCACTCCTCCAGGCTCTCACCCACTCAGACCAGCTCACTCCTCATGATCCCTAGCACAGTCAAGCCCATCTTGTCTCTGTCCCAGGTCTGTGCAAGCTTGGCTCCCATCCCCATTACAAACAAAAGCCTTTCTCTGGCCCCGTCTGAGTCCTGTTCTAACTCACCTGGCCCTGTTCACACCATACCATTTCTAGTTCCTTCATCCTACGCAGACACCCCCGCCTCCACTTCCCTTCACTAACTTCCTTATGCACCTGCACAGAATAACACTGAAAATCTACCTCCAGGTAAGATTGTATCTACCTCCAGGTAAGATATACAACAGAACCACGGGGCTTTATATTCTCATTGGCTTAATTTCCCCAGGGAGTAGAGAGTGACTTCAGTTGAAATGAGAGCTGTGGGAACCCAGGGGTAGCGAATGGGAGAAAGCGGGTCAAGGTAAGAGCTGCTGACAAGCAATCTCACCTGAGTGGGCTCCCCTCGGTCCATTTTGTCCCCTGTTCCCAGCTGCCCATATCTGTTATTTCCCTGCATGAAGATTCGTCCAAATTCATCCACCAGACCAAGGTGATTATAGCCAAGAGCACAAAACAGGACCTAGGAGCAAGACGGACTCAGTTCCCTCCAGAGGGACCCCAAGCTCCAGCATCTCTTCCAACCCCAACCGCTAAGCTCCAGTCCCCTGGAACTCTTTTGCCCCTGCCCTCCACCTACCCTTCTTCCTAGGGCCCCTCCCCCTTCCTGAAGGATCATTTGCTTCCTGCTCATATCGCAGGCTTTTGGTACCTTCCAGTCCCTAAAGCCCCTCCCGCTTTGGTCTGCCCCTTCCCCTCAGGACCCTACCTTGGCAGGCAGTGAGAGAGCAAGCGGCATCTGCTGGTCCAGGGGGTCAAAGGCTTGAAGGGTCCCAAAGAGATCACGATACACCCCTGGGGTATGCACCTCAAAATATACTCCTCCCTGGTCTGGGGGGTCGGGAGCCCTCAGCTCAGCAGCTTTGGGCACCAGTTTCCTAGGGATAAGGCCCCACCTGGGATGAAAAATGTGTGAGATGCAGGGAGCCTCACACCCACTAGGAATGAATCAGCTGTGTATGGGAGCCTGAACACAGTTTTTCATTAGGATGCCCTAAGTTTACCACAGGGCTGGAATATGGAGAAGGGTGTTGTTTTTTAGAGGGCTGGTTCAAGTCTGGGTCTTGAGAAGAAGCGAGATGGTTCTTACCCGTGATGTATAGGGTACTGCTCTGGTTGGAAGCCATGCAGGCCACTCGCAGGTGAGGCAGGCAACGGGATACCTTCCTGAGGGCCAGCTGGACTGTGTAGGAGCGTGGCTGATCCAGTTGCGTTTCATTAACTACCAGTGAGTAGATCTTTCCTTCCTCTGGGGCATGCAGAGGCAGGCAGTTATGTGGGACAGGGGGCCCTGAGATACCTTATTAACTATCCTCTAGACTCCCCATAAAAGGAGCGGAGTGGTTACAAATCAGGCTGTGAACCGCAAGGTCACCGGTTCGAAACTACCAGGTGTTCCACGGGAGAAAGGTGAAGCTTTCTGCTCCCATACAGATTTACAGCCTCGGAAACCCTGTTACAGGGTCGCTATGAGTCCGGCACATAACAACAACAACAGACTCCCTAATCCATACAGGATAAAACATTTACGGCCTGGAGTGCAGTAAGAAGACAAAAGGGAGGAATGAAATCAAGAACTGCAGTCCCTCCTTCCCACCAAAAGCAAACCAGGGAGGTACTTGAGCATAAGAGACTGAGAGAAACGGAGCAGGAGCAAGAGAGCTGGGTACAATAACGTGTGGAAGTTTAGATTTCCTCCCTGGCATTCAGAAGGCTGGAGAGAGTCAGGAATTTGGCCAAGTTTAGAGGCAAGCATTAGGAAAGTAGGGGGCAGTTTGAGGTATAAAGTGCCGGGCCAGGCATGTGGGATGGGGAGAGCTGAAGTTTTAAAACCAGGCATCACTAGAGTAGTGTTTCTAAACAATATTTTGGCAGCAGAGCCCTTTTTCATGTGAAGTCTTAGGTAGAATGCTAGATTAAGAGACGGATGGTTTTGGAATCAGGATGAGGTGGCTTGCAGAGCCCTGAGAGACCTCCCTCCCTGTCCCCCAGCAGCTCCCCGAAGCTGTGCGAAGCCCACAGCGTAAGCCACACCTGTGAGGAGGAGGAGAGCCCGCTGTGTCTCCTGACCAACCAGCACAATCTGTTTGAAGCTCATGGAGTGGTGGAAGGTCATCTTAAAGACCCGCTGCCCACTGGACTGCAGATAGACCTCCACACAGTCACAGGTCCGGCTGCCAGTTGTGCCTACCACTCCCAGCTGCTCCCGAGTGGCCAATACGTAGAGGTATTTACGGTAAACGGTGTCACATCTCGGGTCTGATGCAAACTGTAGGGAAAATGAGGGTGTCTGGAATCTAGGGCTTTGGAGGGGATAAGGTTGGGGTACCTGGATCCTGGGTGGGGAGATGAGATATTTGGGAAATATGAGAACTGCTATGCAAGTTCCCCCTTGAAAATTTTATACAGGGTCGCTATGCGACAGAACTGACTCGGTGGCACCCAACCACCACCCACCACCACACAGGGGAACGTCCAGGGCTGGTGTAAAGGATGGGCTCTCAGCTGCTAGCTTTCTGCCACTCACATCCTTGGCTCCCCGACACAACACGACATAGCGGCAGGCCCGCTTCCACTGGATCTGGCCAAGGGTGGAGGACACCAGGGCATTTTTGAGGAAGAAGAGAGTCCCCGCATAGTCAAGAATAAAGACGTGGTCCTTGGTGGGCAAAAAGCGGCGGTAGCCATGTGCTAGCAGGGGTGCCACACTCTTATTGAGACAGCGGCGGCGGCCGCCAAACGCCTGGAAATACAGGCCCTTCGTGTCTGGAGGAGGCAAGGAGACACAAGGCTGAGGGGTGGGATGACACAAGGGAGATCAGTCAGAGCTTGGGCAAACTAGCTTTCTCAGACACCCTGGTGCTTGGCTCTTCTCCATCCCCAGAACTGGGAACCAAACCCCTTCTAACAGATTATGGAAAGCTTAGAAGATACCCTCAATGGTAGCCCAGGCCCAAACTTTAGCTCTGGGCCACACCCCAGCCCAGGGGGTGCAGAGAGCTAAGGAAGCTTCTAAGTGAGTACTTTTTCATTCCAATCTTTTAACAGAAACATAAAGTGAACTATAATAAATACAAAGGCACTGGGCAGAAAAGAGTGAAAAGGAATATCTAAGGCCTGTCACCCTCCCTTACACCCAGCTCTAGGTGTTAAATGGAGGCCAAGCTGACTGATCCCCTAATCTCTCAGTGTGTGAGACATAGGGGCTTCCTGGGAGAGGAAGGGGTTTAGAGCATGGTTCTCAACCCAGGGATGATTTTGACCCTCAGGGGTCATTAAGCTGTTCCAGCTGAGGGAGATGTTCTGGCAGAGACCTTGAACTCTACTAGCTGTCTGATAATACACAGGGCAGTCCCTCCCCCAGCCCCAAACAAGGGATTATTTCACCCAAAATATACACAGCGGAAACCTGGCTTTGGGAGTGGGGGGAGGCACACTAGAAATGGGGGCTGTGTGTGGGGACGTCGATGAGAGGGGGGCGCTAGAGACATGAAGGAAGTCCTTGGTGTTTGAGTCTAACAGGTTTCTTCCTGAGAAAAGGGCCCCTGGGAGGTTGACTGAGAGTCATCAGACAGCTCTACTATGGAGCGCGAGGGACGCGGGATCTGCGTAGGGTAGAAGAGTGGTAAGAAGTGCTTAGTGGTAAGAAGTGGGGGGTTCAGGGGAAGGTGTACAGTTAAGAATGGCAGCTCTCTTCCAGGGCCGGATCCCAGGCCCCTGCTCTCGTAGGCGGGGACTGAGCCTGCGGCAGATATGCCTCCAGACGCCCTCTGCATCGCACACTTGGTGGAAGTAGCGGCAGGTCTGGCCCAGGGTGACTACATCTCTGACTGGGAGGAAGGAGATGATGTGTTCCACCTAGAGTGCAGGAGGGAGGAAGGAGGGTCGTTGGGGTCTCCTTGGTCGGGCCCCAACTTCTTAATTCTCAAAATCTCCCCCCAGAGACTCACCAGCTCTGGGGGGAACAATTGGACAGAAATAGGGATCCCTCTCCCCTTCTTCTCTTCACCCCCAGGCTCTGGGCCACATGAAGGGCAGGTCCGCTTCACCTACCCAGGAAGAAGGGGCATAGAGGGTCCCATGAGGGCCTTGCCCTTCTCTCAGCCCATCTTACTAATTCCTTCCTCAGGGCCCGCAGTGCAGACTTCCATTCCATCTCCCCAGGTTCACCAGTTCCAACTTCTCCAATTAAGACCTCCCTGGGATCACCTACCATTCTCACCCTGAACCCTTCCTTCTGTCCTTGTCCACAAAGTTGGGTGAATTTTTGCAGCTTCAGTCTCCTGCTTCTCCTCACCATCCTGACTGCCCCTTCCCTGGTCCTTCCCTGATTTCTCCAGGCCCCACGGGCCCCTGTACTCTGCTCCCTGGCTCCCGTCCCTGCTGCTTTTCCCACACCATGTCGCCCGCCTGGCCTGGCCTTGGAGGACCTCTAGGGCCCCCTGCCTCCTAGACTCCTCCCCCAATGGAGTCTGGGGCCAACAAACCTCTCTGTGACCTCACTGTCCAGCCACTGTGACCTATTTTCCCCAACCCTGCCCAGGATTGTAGCTCATAGAGAGCTCCTGGGTTCTAGCCTAGCCCTAAGCTCCTTGGGTATGCACTTTACAGAAAAGATCAAATGTGAAAGGCTGTTTCTTTTTAGGAGCCAGAGGAAGTTTCTCCACTCTAGGCCGTTTTAGCACAAATCTGTGGAATAATTCTGCTGAATTCATATCCCTGCAGGCCAGGGTCTCCAGGGAATTTGTAGCTCAACAGGGTAAACTACAAACAATAACATCAAAGTTATAAACTCAATTTGACAAGTGAGGAAAGAAGATGGCCCTGTTAAGGACCACTGGTCTAGCAAAAGCAAGAACTGAGTCAAAATGGGAACAATTCAGCACAAATGCCTCCTATTATTGCCCTGAAAAACACCCCCCAAAGCAGGCATTGTCCTGGGACTGTGTGATGACTTACATGTATGGAGGGCAATTTGTTAAGACAGAAGAAAAGGATAGATTTATTTTCTTTCTTGGAAAGCTTAGGGTCTCTCAGAGCCTAAGCTATCAACTTAGTCTTCTCTCTCTGCCATCGAGTCACTTCTGACGCACAGTGACCCTGTATCAGGTATCTGAGACTGCAGATCTTCACAGAGGCAAAGCCCCACTTTTCTTCCATGGACTGGGTGGTGGGTTTGAACTGCCAACCTTGTGATTAGAAGTGCAATGCTTATCTCACAGAGCCACCTAGAGCAACTTAGTCTTACAGAGGGTAAAATGTATGTGAAGAAACAGGAGTCTGGGCTGTGTCTGGAGACAGATGGACAGTAGGCCTAAGGCAATATATCAAAGGAGCTGCTGGCTTTTCCAGGGACTCGAGAGATTCAGTCCTGTTGGGACATCCAGCCCTCAGCTGCATGGTACTAGAGGCATTCATTCCCTGTGTAGGTAAAACACTTCGTCAACCATCCAGCAAGCTCTGCTTTGCAATGACAAGCAGGCAACTAGGTTAGGAGATTAGTGTTTCGGGAGGGAACTTTCCTATTTAAGTGTATTATCATCTGGGCTCTGAGTAATGAGAAACTCCACATGTCACTTTGAAGACTAAGGTGCACCTGACCCAAGCCTTGGTATTTTCAATCATCTCATGGACATGGGGAAACTGGAAGCCTGAAGCAGACTTGATGCATGTGAATTACGGTGTTCACAAACATACGGAATATACTGCCAAATCTGTCCTGAAAGAACACGGGACTTTGTCCATCACACTTGGGACACCTTTATTAGGAGGGACCCGTCCTTGATAAAGAAAAAGAGACCGCTAAGGAGATAAGGCTGACACAGTGGCTGCAACAAGGGCTCTAGCATATGAACACAGGGCGGACAGTGTTTTGCTCAACTGCAAGTAGGGTCACCCTAACACTATGGACATATTTCAAGGAGTAGACTAGAATATTCCACTAAAGGGGACAGAAATAGAAATGGTCTTTTCCAGTTCCTCTTGTATTTGCATCCCCTTTCTTCCCTCGGAGCCCTTATGGCGCTGTGGGTTAAGTGTCTAACCACAAGGCGGGCAGTTCAAACCCACTAGGCTGCTCCATGAGAGAAAGAGGAGGGAGCAGTTCTGCTCCGTCCTGGAGGGTCACTGAGTGGGAATCAACTCGATGGCAGGCGGTTTCTTCCCTGCACTTCGGTTCCGGAGGCAACCAGGAGGCTGCAGAGGGGAAGAACAGGCCCCCCCACCCCACCCCCCCGTCTGTCTCCGTCACATGTAGGGCAGAGATCTCTGTCTCTCCTAGACCCTCCAATTCCCAGGTCTTGGCTCCACAGTCCGAGGCCAGGGGCGGGCTGCGATGGGGGTCCCGCCGGCCCGAGCCTGCCAGCCCATTCGCAGCTCCCTAGTCTCTTCTAATCCTCCATCTCCACTCTGCAGGCCGTCAACCCGGGCTTGCTGGTTCCCACGATGCTTTTGGCTGCAGCGAGCTCCCCTGCAATGGGCCTCGGCCTCTTTCCCAGCTCCCATGCTGACTGGCTCCCTAACACAGCCACTCGAGTCCTTGCGCTGTTCCGAGCCGGTCCCAGCGCGCAGCGCACACATCCTTTACCTCAAAGTTCTAGCTCACCCGCCTCCTCCTTAGCGAAGGGACCGCCTTCTCGCCCATGCTATTGGTAAGTAGAGCCGTCCCTCAAGCAGAGGTTCCCTCCGGAGGATCTAATTGGCCTTCTTGATAATCACTCGCCCGTATCTGGCTTGCGATTGGTCTTGGTGGGACGAGGTCTTGGCTCACCCGGCCGAGGGTCTCGTGCTCTCCGCCTTCTAGTTGAGAGACGACGTTCCCGCCTCCTGGCTGGATCTGATTGGCTCCAGCTCCAACCCTAAGCATTGTGATTGGATGCGGCTACGCGGGGCGGGTCCGTCCGAAGCATCGGCCGTTGACCAGCTCTCCATTCTCTCGCCCCTCCCCTTCCCTCGCCGCACTACAGCGCTGGAGTCCCCCTCCCTCTCCCTTCCCCCCGGCGAGTTCTGATTCGCCGCTTCTAACGCGTCTCGGTCCCACGATTGGTCCGCTGGGTCCCAGAGTCGCTTCCTTCCCATCGAAGGGACTACGGCGGCTCTGAGGAGGTGGAGGGGGCTGGGAGGGACTGCAGGTCCCGTCAGTTAGGCAGCGGAAGCCGCCCGGAGCGGATGGCGGCTGTGGTAGCAGCTACACTCGCCGCCGGGGGTGAGGAATCGGTGGCCACGACCTCTGTTTCGGGGTCTCCGGGACTGCCTGGGAGCCGCAGTGCAGAGCGGGCCCTAGAGGAGGCCGTGGCCACCGGGACCCTGAACCTATCGAACCGGCGCTTGAAGCAGTTTCCGCGGGGCGCGGCCCGCAGCTACGACCTGTCAGACATCACCCAGGCTGGTGAGTGCTCCGCGGACCCCAGCCGGGCCAGACCCTCATTTGCATATCCCCGCCCCCGCCTCCAGCTCGGGCGTCTGTGGCCCGCCCCGTCATCTGGCCGTCGGGGATCTGGACTAATATTTGCGCGAGCTTGCTACCACCCGCTCCCCACTTTAAGAACTCCTGGACAGCGCAGTAACTGCTCATTGGCTCCGATCGCCCAGACGCTGAGGCTAGACCATGTGGGAGACCCCTGCTTCTTTTTGCATATCGGCGCCCCGGCAGGCGGGCCCCGCCTCTCACCTGCTTGGCTCATTTGCATGGGCTCCTCCCCTCGGTGCCGTGAAGCAGCCCCGTGACCTCCTCCAGTCACTCCTTTCTCGGTCTTCCCAGTGCCACCCAGCTCCAAGCAGCCCCGGGTGCCCTGTCCCCGCGGACTCGGGTCTGCACCCTATGGGAAAGCAGCCAGGCCTACCTCGCCCAACTCTCCTATGGGACCGCTTCTTCCTCATCCCCTTCATCCCCTTCCCTGCGAAGCTCTGCCTCCGTCCTGCGTTTGTGACGTCACTGCGGGCCTGTGACCTCATAAGGGACCCTGGCGCCTGACAGAAGGAAGCCCAGGATGATCCTCGCCCTCCCCCACTGCAGGCCTCTGTCACAGTCTCTGATGGTGGTGGGGGCAGGGGCGCTTCTGTGACCAGTGAGTCCCAGTCTGCCCCAGCTGCTCCAGAGGCAGCTGCGGGGAAGAGGGAGGAGGAGGAGGACTGCATTCCACAAGCCCAGCCCCTGCTGGAAGGAGGTCTTCTGCGCTCATCTTCAGAGTGGGGGCCATTTCTCCCTAAGCAGGTGCCCACTCACCTGCAGAGGTGCTGTGGATCCAGACACACTTTTCCTTTTCCTTCTGATTTAGTGTTGGGCTGCTGATTGTAAGGTCAGCAGTTCAACCCACCAGCCGCCCAAGGGAGAAAGATGAGACTTGGCTTCCGGAAGGATGCCAGGCTCAGTAACCCTAAGGAGCAGTTCGACTTGATCCTCAGAGTCACTGGGACTTGGAATGGGCTTGCAGGCAGGGGGTGGTTTTGTTTGCTTAGTCTTCTGGGGAGAGCCAGTGGACCTTCATCACTTTGCTTGGGACGCTAGGTAAACACGCTTGCCCACTAGGCCTGGAGTGAGTTCAGGGCATGGGAGAGCCCCAGGACCATGTCTGTGGCCCTGTGGCCCTGGCGGCTGCTCCAGACAGGCCTCAGCAGCTGTGTGACATTAGCCCTCCGGTCTCCTCCTCCTGGCTTGTTTTTTGACAAAGACCAAATGTTCCTCTGTTTCCTTAGGGCTCTGTCTCTGGGAGTGGACTCCTGGGGAAAGCTACCGAGAACTCCCCAGCCCCTCCCAGCTCCTCCCCCAGCATTCCGGCTCTGGGTGCAGCCAATTCTCCTTTGAGCTTGGGTGGCGAAGCGGGAAAGTCTTTCCCTGTGCTATTCTCCACACAGGAAGCCTCCTCCATCCTCTCTGAGCCCAGGTTCTAGGCCCCAGTGGGGTCCATCTTGTCCAGAACTCTCTCTTCTGTCCCCTCTGTCCCAACAGGGTGCTTATAGCTTGGGGTGAAAAGGAGAAGTGACGAAAACACAGCGTTGTCCATACCTTGCCCTCCACACTCCCTTGTCCCCCAGTCCAGATGAAAAGCTCTCCTGTTCTACTTTTAGGATCATGTTGAACTCTCTCCTCCTGCTTCCCCAGCTGTTTTCAAACCCTGGCCTGGCTTCTTGTAGCTCAGGTCCTTGCTCTCCCTTGGACTCAGAGTTGGATGGTGGGGGGAGGGGCCTCCCCAGCAAAGGAGAAGTGGAGCTCATTCTCTCTCACCACATCCTGTGCCTGGCCTCCTCCAGCCTGGGCTCCGTTCTGCTCCTAGCTTTGGACCCCTGACACCCACTCACCCTCATGACTTCCTTCCCACTGCCTTCACCCACATGCATACACGAACCCATTTGCGGACCCACAGAGGCAGGCAGTTGGAGGCTGAGGGTGAGAGGACCAGATGCAGCCCACCCACCTCTCTGGAAGTGTCTTCTCCCGTGACAGGTCTTCTCAGTGTGTATACCAGAGTTGGGGCAGAAAGGGAGAGAGATGCTTCTTGGGATACCACGTTTTCATCCTCCCTGGTAAACACAAGGACCCATCAAAGACAGAACTTGACAAACTGTTTCTACTTCATTTCCTGTCACAAGACTCGTTTCCTTGAGGGACATACCCCAGCTCTCTGTCTCCTCAGCTGTTATTTACCCGTCCCTGGGGAGTACCCTCTAAGGAGCTCACCCAAGTTCTGTTGGGTGGGACTTTCCCCCAGCAGAGCCTAGACCCTGCCCAACATAGACTTCTGGAGGTCTAAGCAGTTATGGTCTCCAGGCTGGAAGGAAGCCTAAAGCCTAGCTCCTTGCATTGGAGTCCACAGGATAATAATGAATTCTAGCCTCCTCCACCCTCTCTATGCCTCACCCATGCCCAAGATGCCGGCAAAGAGCTGACTCATAAATCTGCGGTTGTAAGAGAGGTGGTGAGGGGTCAGCGTGCCTGGAAGAAGGTGGGAGAGAGGTTGCCAGTGGGGTGCACACTCAGATGGGATGGGCCTGAGGACTCCAGGCTGCCGCTTACAGTATGGCTGCTCGCTTACAGTATGGCTGCTCGTTCTTTCCCTCCCAGGCCTTTGTTACTGATAGGTGCTGTCGAGTCGGTTCTGACTTACAGGGACTTGTTAGGTTGGAACTCATGGTTGCAGCCACTGTCTGTCTACCTCGTTGAGGGCCTTCCTAGATTTTGCTGACCCTCTGATCCTGGCCAAGGAATCATAGCCCCGTTGACCCTGGATTACTGATTGTAGGAGTTGGTGGAAGACTGTTGTCCAGTATTGAAGGGCCTTAAGCTCTAGAACCAGGCAGGATATAGTGACTCTTGGCTTCCTCCTCAGGGCCAGCTAACCTTGTTGAAAAGGGAGAGCCCTTGGGAGGGATGGAAGGGCTTTCCCTGTGATATCCTTTGGGGTTTTCTGTATTCTCATCAAGAACCTCCCAGACCATCACCTTGCTCGTTTCTCTGGAGTACCAGCCCTCTTGTCCCTTTTGTCTTCCACTCCTTGTAGCACTTCAGAAGAGCAGCTATCATGTAGGAGTCCCCTTCCAGGAGAGCCTTTCGTGTGATTGGTACATGGTGTTCACGGTGGGCCCCAGGTCCGGGCTCCAGCCCCGTGACCCTGTGCCTTTCTCAGCATGTCTCCCCAGGATGCCTAGGTCTAAAGCTTGGTTCCTTAGGTCTGCTGAGGCATGGGGTGCTGAGCTACTGGCTCTGGATGGGGGAGTCATGGGCCCTGCTATCCAGGACGGGGCCTTTCCACAGCCCTCCCCTGGCACTTGTTCCTAGACCTGTCCCGCAACCGGTTTCCCGAGGTCCCGGAAGCAGCATGCCAGCTGGTGTCCCTGGAGGGCCTGAGCCTCTATCACAATTGCCTGAGATGCCTGAACCCAGCCTTGGGGAATCTCACTGCCCTCAGCTACCTCAACCTCAGGTAGAGAGGGCAGGGCCAGAGAGGGTGGGGAGAACTCCAAGGAGGAGGGCAGTGCTAGGCCCCTTTGCCAGGGGATTGAACTCCCTGCCTTCCTCTCTTCCACAGCCGAAACCAGTTGTCATCGCTGCCACCCTACATCTGCCAGCTGCCCCTGCGGGTGCTTATTATCAGCAACAACAAGCTAGGAGCCCTGCCTCCTGACATCGGGGCCTTGGGAAGCCTACGGCAGCTTGTGAGAATAGGGAACGAATGCGAGAAGACGAGCCAGGCACTAGGGACATTTGGGGGTGAGGGTGGGGAGAAGGCAGAGGGCCCTAGACGGGAGGGCAAGTTCGGTTGTTCCTGGCCTTAGGTGGCCTTCCCTAATTTCAGGATGTGAGCAGCAATGAGTTGCAGTCTCTCCCTCCAGAGCTGTGTAGCCTGCCTTCCCTTCGGGATCTCAATGTTCGGAGGAACCAGCTTAGCATCTTGCCTGATGGTGAGGAAAGTGAGCAGGAGGAGGGCAGTGTGCATGCCTGCATGTCTGTCTGCTTTGGACAGGGGTCAATCCAGGGATCGGCAGTGCTTTGATTTTAACTAGCAGACCTCTGAGCTTGGCAAGGGTTAGAACTCTACTTTGCTAAATGTGGGGAAATGGGTCCAGAGAGCAAAGGAGCTGAGTGCATCTGCGCCACTAGAATCTCAAGGTCAGAAGGGTCACCTCTCTGGTCTTCAGAGTGACGTGACCAGACGTCCTCCCCAGAGAGCCTGAGTCCTTGGAGCCTCACTGGAACCCCACTGTCCACTGTTTTAAGGAGCCGATTGTGATGTATGATAGCCTCTGTTCCTAAGCAGACACACCTTTCCTTCAGCCAGCCAGCATGTTTGGGGGGAAAAACTGAGGGGAAAGAGGGAGAGGTAGTGTTTCTTGTTTTCTTAGGTACAGACCAGACAGATGTGGGAGATGTGTCTAAGAGCTGGGGCCAACTCTTAGAGATCGAATGGCTTAACAGGGAAGACAGACAGACAGGCATTCCTAGAACAGGGAGGGGTGTGCCAGTGTGAGGCTTAAGGAGCCCCCGGGGCCAGCGCTGGGCAGCACTCAGCTCTGCCTGGGAAGCACAGGAGTTGACCTTTGAGAATTTTTCATCCACCTGCATCCTCTCAAGGAAATAATGGTTTCAAATAGAGGTGGTTAGAAAGGCAAGCCAGGAGGGACCTTCTGTGCTGGAGCATGTGAACTTTATTGTTAAGAACAACAGTCGGGAATCAAGCGGTCATCCATTTTCTCTGGGCCCCGTACTCTCACTTTCTGTGCTTGCCCCCCTCCTTCCAAGTCACTAGGGATACAAGTAAACATTTGCTCAGGACGCTGGGCCATCAAAGCGAACCTAGCAGAATGCCCTGGGGACACAGAGGGAAGAGTACTGAATTCCACCTTGAGGGGTCTGGAAAGATCCCTAGAGAAGGTGATGCTTGAGACTTCCCTTCCCTTGAGAGGTGTGTGGATGTGAAAATGAAAGTTCCCCCTGCTGAGCAGACAGCACAAGGAAAGGTCCCGAAGCTGAGGACCTGGACAGGTGTCTGATGGGTTGCTGTTGTTAAGTGCCATCAAGTCGGTTCCCACTCAAAGCAGTCTTGAGAAAGTTTTCCGAAGGGCGTCAGCTGGTGAATTTGAACTATCAGTTCAAACCGACCTTGCAGACCAGTGCGTTATTCCACAGTACCACTAGAGGATAAAACAGTGATAGCAAACATCTGTCCCACAGCACCCTCTATTTCTCCTCAGGGTTCCATAACTCATCTCAGTGACCACACAGAACTCAGACACCAGACTCAGAGTTAGGGGCTTTCTTAGGGAAGTTAACAGGTTACAATGCAGGGGCAAAAAATGCTCAGGGCACCATTCTTCTGGTCAGGACAGCTTCTCCTCAGCCGTGCTCACAGGCAGGCCTCTCTCTGGCCCTCAGCAACTTGGCCTGGCCTCTGCCCTGCTCCTGTGATGCCCCAAAGCTCTTTTAGAACTGCTGATCAATGCCCACAGGGCACATGACTCAGCCATAAGCTTCAATCTAAAGGTTCTTAGCTCTAGTTCTCTGGATCTGCACACCTAGCTCCTCCAATTAAATACCCTACTCTGTAGTAAACCTCTTGCCCAAAGTCACTCAGCTGTATTTGCTCCATGGGCTGGGAAGCCCACCACTCCATCTGGAGCTCTGGCTCTTGATTGTGCCACTCCTGTGGGTCACAGCTGTTTGTTCCTGGGTCCTCGAGGTCCAGTGCTCAGGGATCTGGGGCTGCAGAGGATGCACTTCACGTCCAGCTCTTCTTCCTTGGTGGCAGTGCAACGCCCCCTCCTGTTTCTGAGATGGCTCATTTTATACCATCGTTAGAGTTCCAAGTTTTTACCATCACAGTTACCCCTGTTAACAATCATTCACAACTGAATCATATCACACACCAGCATCACCTCCTCTCCTCCCCACTGTGTCTTACCTAGACCCATCAAGAAAAAGTCATTTGGTGTGAGTTTACAAAGACTATGGCTAGAAGAGACATTAAAGAGTTCATTGCACGGCAGAGTGGTGGGGAGTGAGGTGGAAGGGGGTCTAAGCAAGTCATGAAGGCTGTGGCCGTGCGTGCTTTTGTTCTATGTCTAGGCCCCCACTGATCCTCCAACTGTGTCTTTTTGAGAATTGGAATAAGGAGCTCCTCCACCCAGGGTGTGGGCTTGGCTAGTAAAGGGCAGAAGGTGTTCAGTGCCCCTGACTGGGTGCATTTGTGCAGGGCGTTCAGCCTCAGCAGCCCAGTCGGCAAGTCATTGAAGGTATTTAGCAAGGGGATGTCACCGTTTGGTTATTGCCTTGTGACGATCAGTTGAAGCGTGGAGTGGGCAGGTGAGGGAACAGGGAGTGCGGGGGAGGACCTGGGATGGTCTGCTGGGCGGCTGGGGAGTTATGGCTTGGAAGGAGGACCAGATTTGATGAGGCAGAGGATCAGGGTGGTGGTTGCTGGAAATGAGTTGAGCCAGTCGGGGAATAGGCTGTGCTGGACCCAGATGAGCCAGGAGTAGTGTGATTGACCAGGCTTGGGCGCCCTCCTGACTCTTCCCTCACCGACTCCCCCAGAGCTGGGGGCCCTTCCTCTTGTCCGCCTGGATTTCTCCTGTAACCGTGTGTCCCGAATCCCAGTCTCCTTCTGCCACCTCAGGCACCTGCAGGTCATTCTGTTGGACAGCAACCCCCTGCAGAGCCCCCCTGCCCAGGTGAGGGGTAGGCTGGGGTGGACCTTGGGGACAGAGATGGGCTGGACGGACCCCTCTCCCCACCTCACTCCTCCTTCACATGTACCTCCTCAAACCCAGATCTGCTTGAAAGGGAAACTGCACATCTTCAAGTACTTGTCAACAGAGACTGGGCGGCGCGGGGGGTCTGCACTGGGGGACCTGGCCCCGTCTCGCCCCCCAAGTTTCAGCCCCTGGTAAGTCCCAGGTGGGAAGAAAGGAAGCCCCTAGACCACCCACTAATGCTCCTTGCTGGTTTTCCGTGGGAACACGGGGCAGGGGTCGGGTAGTTGTAGTTCAGTATAGGACTGACCAGATCTTCCTGCCTGACTCCCAGCCCAGCTGAGGATTTATTTCCGGGACGTCGGTACAATGGGGGACTGGACTCAGGCTTCCACAGTGTTGATAGCGGCAGCAAGCGGTGGTCTGGGAATGAGGTAAAGCCTTCTCCTGGGGAGGGCTTGGGGGGTCGTGGCCCCAAGAGAGCCATTCTGAGCCTGGAACCCTCTACCTAGAGTGAGTGATGGTGGTGGGGGCTGTTCTCTTCCTTCCCTCTCAGGCATTCCATGGAAGGGGCTAGTCCCTGCAGTCACTCATAGGCCTTGAGGCCCTGTGGTCCCTGCACAGCAGAGGGAGTCTGTCTTCTACTTCTGCATCTTTGCCTTTACAGTCAACAGATGAATTTTCGGAGTTGTCATTTCGGATCTCAGAGCTGGCCCGGGAGCCTCGGGGACCCCGGGAACGGAGGGAGGATGGCATCGGTGAGTAGTGGAGTCACGGGCCAGGAAGCCAAGGAGATGAGTGAGGGCCAGAGGCCCCATCTGCTTGCTCATGTGCCCCTGGCCCCTCTAGCCGATGGAGACCCTGAGCAGATCGACTTCATTGACAGCCATGTGCCTGGGGAGGAGGAAGACCCAGGGGCTGCAGAGGTGAGGGTCCAGGCTGTGTGAGGGGCACAGTGGGAGCCTGGGGTGCAGTCATTCCCTTAAGCTCTCCACTCCTTTTTGTCCAGGAGCAGCGGCCTCCAGAATTAAGCCCTGCAGCAGGAGATGGGGAGAGGGCACCAAGCAGCAGGTACCCCCAAGCCACATCCTTCCTTTGCTCCCAACCTCCTGCTGGACCTCCTCTCTTTGCCCTTGACCTCCATCTGGTTGACCTCTGGGCCTGTCTTTGGCCCTCAGACGGGAGGAGCCAGCGGGGGAGGAACGGCGACGTCCAGACACTTTGCAGCTATGGCAGGAGCGTGAGCGGCGTCAGCAACAGCAGCAGAGTGCACTGTTGGGGAGCCCCAGGAAGGACAGGTGTGGCGCAGGGACAGGGGCAGGGAGTTACTGCAGGGTCTCTGCCCCACGCTAGGTGGGCCCTTACCTAGGCACTGCCGACTCCTGGTTTCCTTATTCTCTTCCTAGTTTTCTGAAGCTGGGGATCCGGGTTGCTGGGGGAGGTGCTGCTGCCCCGCCCACTCAGGCCACCTCCAAGTATGTGGACTCCCAGAGCCCCTCCTGAAGTCCTCCCTACACACCTTCTGCTCCAGCAGTCCCTCTCATTCCTTTTCTGCCCTTCCATAGCATTGCTGCCCAAGTGGGTGCCACAGGGGGGCAGGGAGCTCCTGTCTCCACCCCCATCTCCCAGGAGACTCTTCCTAGAGCTGGACCAGGTGGGATGGGGACTTTGGCTAAAGGATGGGGCGGAACCATGGAAGTGAGGGAGTGGTTGGGACCTGGTGGCCTGTGGGAGGAGTGGGACAGTGAAGGGATATCTCGCTCACCTGCTGCTGTCCCCTGGCTCCGGCCTCAGCCACAGCGCCTGCTCCCCAGCCACTGGGCTCCATTCAGAGACCGAACAGCTTCCTCTTCCGCTCGTCCACTCAGGGCAGCTCAGGTGGGTCTCTCCTCACCCCACAGCCAGGGATGTCCCAGTAGTCGCCCCTAAGCTTGTGTTGCACCCATGGGCTTGGGAGCTCTGTGTTGTCCTTTTGTGGTTTGTGTTGAATGTCCCACCAGCGGAGTGGCAGGCGCCCGTACACTAGGATTCCAGCTCTGAAGCCAGTGCTGAATGGTGAGAGACTGCCACGTGCCCTGGTTTTCCCTAGGCCCTTCTTCACCAGACTCCCTCTCGAGATCTCGGCGGCCCCTCCAGGTTCTGGATGAGAAGGAACTGATGGCTCAGCTGCGCCAGGTCAGGGAGTGTGTTGGGCATGGGCAGTGTGGGCAGGGACAGGCTCAGCACTGAAGTCAGCTTGAACCACAGGGTCGGTGGTTCACGCTCATCAGCTGCTCCTTGGAAACCCTATCTATACAGGGTCACTATGGGTCAGAGCTGACTCGACGGCACTTCACATCAACATCATCAAGTGTGTCTCCTAAGGAAAGACAGGGGCAATATGCTGACTTTGGCCTTCCCTCCCCCTGCCTCCTAGGTTCTTGAGTCACAGCTGCAGCGGCCCCTGCCTGAGGACTTGGCGGAAGCTCTGGCCAACGGGGTCATTCTCTGTCAGCTGGCCAACCAGCTCCGGCCCCGCTCTGTGCCCTTCATTCATGTGCCCTCGCCTGCTGTGGTCAGTTGGAGCCCAAGGGAAGAAGTAGGGGAAGGGACAGGGGTCTATCTCCGTTGTCATCTCCCTCACCTTTTTCTCAGCTTCTTTTCCTATCCACCCCCAGCCAAAACTCAGTGCCCTCAAGTCTCGGAAGAACGTGGAAAGTTTTTTAGAAGCCTGTCGGAAAATGGGGGTGCCCGAGGTATGGAGGATGTGTTCTCTGGAACCTGGGACTGGTCTCCACTCTAAGGAGTGGCGACCTCCAGGGCTCATCTGAGCATGGCATGGCATGGGTGGTGGGCTCCATTCACAGGGGGATCTGCTCCCTGGAAGAAAGCACCCCAGCATGCCCTGTCCTGCACATCCCTTCCCTGCATGTCTGCATGTGGACTTGGCTCAGGCCCCGGCATGTGAGGGCAGGGAGGGGGGATTGTCTTACTGCTGTGGCTCACATCTGTCTTTTGTCATTGTCCATCTGTCTTACTCTCCCCTCCCAGGCTGACCTGTGCTCGCCCTCGGACCTCCTCCAGGGCACCGCCCAGGGGCTGCGGACCACACTGGAGGCCGTGCAGCGGGTGGGGGGCAGGGTGCCCCCGCCACTCTGGCCCCCTTCTGGTCTGGGCGGCTTCGTTCTCTTCTACGTGGCCTTCGTGCTGTTACTCTATGTCACCTACACTCGGCTCCTGGGCCTCTAGGGCCTGAAGTCACCCCCCCCTCCCCACCCATTTCTATCTATTTATAAGACTCCCTCGCGACCCTCCTCCCCCACCAGTGGTGCCTTCAGTCCCCACCAAAGACACTAGTACACCCACCCTTCACAAACACTGACCTCAGAGGCTCTACTCGAGCCCCCAGACCCTGGGACCCCAGCCTCTGGCTGCTCTTCTGTAGCCCCTCTCTGTGCCCTTACCCTGCTACTTCTGATAGTGCCTTCGTGCTCTCCCTTTCTCTGCTCCTTTCCCATCCCCCCACAGGGGTGGCAGTGCCTGAATCTTTCCCCTGCCCCTCCCCATTGTGATGGGGGCTAAATTATCTATATTTTGTAGAGAGAACTTTATATTTGTAGGGATGCAGGGGCCTGGGTGGGTCCCTGTCTGTGTGTATAAACTGTACAGACCATACCGTGTGTATATGTGTGTGTGTGTGTGTTCGTTCATCTGCTCCTGCTGTGGTCAGGCCCAGCCCTGGCTGGGGCCCCTGGGCTCTGTGTGCCTTCCTCCCTGCTCCAGCATGTGCCTCTGCAGAGGACAAGCCTCCTCCTGCTAGGCCCTGGCCCCTGTGTCATCTCTGCTGTTACCTGCTGGCAGCTTCCTTGCTTCTCGTGTCCCCAAGCTGTGAGCCCACAGTGTGTACTCAGGGTGTCCCTGGCCCCTGAAGGACTGTCCCCACAGGAAGCTCTGCTCAGGCTCCCATAGGGACTTTGATCTCTGATACCTTGTCCTCTGTTAGGGGTAGGGAGGCAGAGTGGGAAGAGGACAAAAGATGACTTCATCTAGGCCCCTCCCCCCAGGAGTCCCTGTGCCAGTCCCATCACATCCTGGACGAGGAGGGGGCCCCAGGAAGGGGTCTCCCCTACATCGCTGCTGTGGTCCATGCACTGCTGGAACGGCCTTAGGGGTTGAGATGGGGGCACAGGGCCCCAGGAACAGAAGATGGACAGCGGCCTGGGCACTGCCCAGACCCCTAAGGACTATGGCGCTAGCGCCTGGCAGGGCTCCCTGAGCATCCCGTGGGCCTGCGGGGTTGGGAGCACTGCTGGCCAAGCCAGGAGGAAGGAACCTTGCTCCGTCTGGGTGTGGCTGAGGGTCTGGACCGGGCACTGGATGTTGTGTCTGTGTCAAGAGCAATAAAAGAAGCCGGAAGACCTCTTGGTTGAGCCCCAGGTGTGTGTGTGTCTGAGAAGAGGGTAAAGTATCGTCAGAAGTGGGCTGCCACAGCTGTGGCCCGTAGTGGGCTCTATCGCGCAGCTGGCCCCGCGCCGCCCCCGCCGCCAGGGGGCGCCGCCGCAGCCTGGGTGCGGCCACGTGGTCCGGAAGCACGCCATGCACCGGCGTCAACGCGAGGCCTTTTGAGGTGGGCAGGCGCCTTTGGGCTTTAAAGCCATGCCCGGACGCTGAGGGAGGGCTGCAGGCCGGTAGGGCAGAGGGAGGGACGGTGTTGCCTGCACTCCACCCCCCCACCCCCCAGCAGACGCGCCATGTTGCCCTGGTGCCCTTCGCACTGGGACTCGGGAGAGGAAGAGGCACCAGAGGAAGGCAGCCCCAGCAGGGGCAGTGATCCCACCGAGTCCTGGAGCTCTGGGGAGGAGACCCTAGAGGAGCCAGACTCGCCCCCGCCGCACAGGTGAGGACGCAGCACCCTGCAGTCACTCGGCCGACCCAGAAGTGCACTGAGGGCATTTGTTGGGGGTGGGAACAGTCACCCTCAAACTAGGCCGCCACTGGCCCTGTCACTGGACCCAAGGACATCGGCCGCCTCGGAGCGGGGCCAGCGGGGCCAGCGGGGCTGGAGCCTCTCTGTACCCCACCCCAGCCCTCAGTACCAGGCCCTGTGTATAGCTGAGGCTCAGGCACGGAAGAAGCTGAGGAAGCTGAGGAAGCGGAGGCGGCTGCAACCCCACAGCTCCCCAGACCCGGCAGCCGAGCAGCGTCCAGAAGCCTCAGGTAGGCACAGGGCCTACCCTTACAGTGCCCTCCATCCAGACACTCATCGCCTCCTGATCCTGTTATGTCATCCCCACCCCACCCCGCACCAGCTTCCAGTGCCCCAGAAGCGCCCCAGCCGGCCCCACCAGCACCCTGGGACCCCAGCTACCAGCCTGAAACAAGATCCTGGCAGATGGCAAGTTGATGCTGTGTGACTCCGGCCCAGGGGCGGGACAGGGGCACGGTGAGAAGAGGTAAGCGCCAACCATCTCTTCCGCCTTCCACAGGTTGGCGTTGGTTCCTTCTCTAACCGTACCTTGAGCCATCCCTCATTCATGCCGCTGTATGAAGCAGCCGCCCACAGGGGTCACAGTCCCCTGGGCCCCCCAGCAGGACATCAGATCACACAGCAGGTGCCTGCCTCCCCGGGTCCCTCGCAGTGCAGCGCCCTCCCCCAGCCTGGCCTTGAGTGCTCCATGGCTCCCTCCCCAGGCTTCCCGGTGCTGGGCCGCGAAGATCTCTTTTTTTCAGACCCTCTGCTTCCCTATGGACAGCAGCGTGTTCCTATGTCTGTGGCCAACACCCCGCAGCAGGTGAGCGTTCTTCCTGCCCTGGCCTCACCCCAGCTTTGGAGCCAGGCCAGGGTGAAGACATGGCCCCCTCTTTTCTCCTCAGATGATGGGCCCCATGCGGTTGCACAGCCCGCCTCCTATCATGTCCTCCTGGGTTGCCCCCACCCGGCCCCCAGGCTACACCAGCACCTGGGTCAGAGGGTCTGAGCTGAATGCCCTCACCGGCCTCATGCAAATGAGGCAGAGGCCCAGATCATCGACACCTCTCCCGAGCCCTACTGAGCCAGCCCCCCCCACTGGCCCTCCAAACCCCAGCTTTTCTCCCTGTCCTCACCCATCTATTCCACGGACCCCAGACACTGATTCCCCGTAGCCACTGGCCCCAAAGACTGTTGACAATAAAGCATTGTTGGTTTGCAAAGGGACTCACTGTGTCTGGTGGCCAAGTGGGGCATGGAGGCAGGGATGGGGCATAGTGCCCCAAATCCTGGTTACTCATTGACCATCCCCTATCGTGAGTATAGTGGGCCAGGCCACTCCAGAGGCCTAAATCCTTTCCAGCTGTGCGCACTTTGTGGTTAACTCATAACGACCTTGTATAGGGTTTGTGAGGAACAGCTGGTAGGTTTGAACTATTGACCTCATGTTTGGCATTCCAGTGCTGATCTACAGCGCCACACCAGGACTAGGTGGGAAGGTCCATGGTGCAGACCTCCAGGTTGAGAGCATAGGACGCACCATGTGTTCTGCCCATTGGGGGGAAGGGAGGATTGGGTGAACATGGGGCTGGTGCTGGGAGAGGCAAACTACTGAGTTAAGGGGGGGTGGTAAATTACTTTTTAGGGGGGCACAAAAGGTAAAATGGAGTGCTGGTGTTAACGCTGGACTGCTAACCACAACGTGGGCAACCGGAAACCCACCAGCCTCACCTTGGGAAACCTATATTATTCGGAACCGACTTGAGACAGCACTTAACAAGATTTCTCCCAGGCCCAGAAGTTCAGCCCTGGGGTGATGTGGGGCTATCTTTGTCTGAGGGGGAGCGGCTGGTAGTTATTTGGCTCCCAGGAAACACAGCAAAGGCACAACGATGGGGGGTGTGTGCACACATCCGTACATACTGGCAGGGTGGGGGGAAGGAGGAGCGTGTACCGGGAGGCCCTAAGGCATTCTAGTGATGCATGAACGCTGAAAGGAAACCGAGGAAACTTTCAGCTGAGAAAGCCCTGAGATTTGTAGGAAGTGGAGACAGTTCTAGTACTTAACTCCCTTAAAAGAATCCAACGTGTATCGGGTACCTTGAAGATTTCCCGGGTGCTATAGGATAAGTACTCGACTGTAAGGTTGGTGGTTCAAACTCACCAGCCGCTTTTTGGAAACTCCTATACAGGGTCAGATTCCACAGCACTTAACACTAATGGTAGGGACCCAAAAGGTAGCTGCAGGTCACAGGACACAGCCATGCCCTGCGGGGGGCGAGGGCAGGGTCACCCTAATTAGTTTCCTTCCCTAGGACTGCCACCTCAACCCCACTTCTGCTGGTCTTTTTCTGAAGCTCCCGACGCAATCATCTCCGTCCTTCCTCTTGTCATTTTCGTGCCTAGAATACTTGCGCCTCAGGCAACTGGAGTCCTGGTCCGCAGACCTGCTCGCCGCTGCCCTGGCCCCATGCAGCTCCGCGGAAGCCCTACGTCCCGTTTCTACGTGCTCCGCGTGGGCCTGTCGCGCTCGTATGTCTCCCGGAGCTAGCAGAAGCTGGAGCCCCGCGTGAGCCTGCACCGGATCGTCCTGTACACGCGCGACAGCAGCGTCATGGTGAGCGCCGTCGCCCGCGAGGGTAGATATGGAGCTGCCGGAGGCAGAGGGCGCATTTGGGTTCGCGTGGATTTGGTGCGTTGCCTGCCCTCTCCCTGGAGTTCACCGAAATTACATTCAAACACAAGAGTTCATGCGCTTTCGTTCTTGGGATGCAGGAACTCCAGGCGCTTCCTCTGACCTTGAGGAAGGGGAGAATAGTGTCTTTGCAGGTTGGGGCCTGTCTTGGTTCCCAGTGTCTCTCCCCTTTGACTTGAAGTTTGGGGGTACAGCGTTCATAGCTACGCACAGCATGTGTTCCCGTGACTGCAGGTCTGAAACACCGGGGACTGCTGGCACCTACAGCACGGCTACCCTCCACGGTGATGTCAATCCTCGAATGCTGGGGCATTGAACCTTGGAGTCCCCCCAGGGAGCAAAGTTCAGAGTTGGGGATTCTAGTAAAGGGGTCTTCCACTCTCCTGCCCTCAGGGGAAGGTACTGAGATTTTAAGGCGCCTCTAATTTTAGTTTTGAGCTGGTTGGGGAAACAGAGGGTACTGGTAGGGAAAGCCAAAGAAAGCTTGGGGAAATGATTTGATTGTGCTGGAAACAGAGACTGGCTAGGGGAGAAGTGGGGTGAATCCTTACAGCAGCAACCCTTCCTGCTTCCATCCCTCACTTCCCACTAGCGTCCAGCACCTGTGTGTCCCTTCCTCACCTGGGAGTAAGTTTTGAGTTTTGAGTAATCCTAGGATCCATGACTTATAAACATTGTATCCATATCTGAGAAGCTGGAGGTTCCGTTTCTGCATGGGTTTGGTGTGATTCAAGGGGTCTTGAGATAAACCAGCCCACCAGAATTCCTGTCAAGTGGCTACCAAAGGGGCTTCTATGTTAGCCGCCATCTCTCAGGTGTATCTGCGTAAGGTATCCATTGCTTTCAACCTCCACCGCCTTTAATGGCACCAGAGGCCAACACAAGGCTCTTTGGCCACAGGTGTGAACTCCTTGGTGAAGGTACCCTTTGCCTCCTGCTACCTGAGGTTTGAGTTGAGGTTGGGAGTCTAGCATTTTGCACCCCATTTCTGACTCATCTAGGGTTTCTTCAGTACTCACTGGCTAGAACATTCTCTGAAAGACACACCAGCAGTTGCCACTTGGGGTCCTACCCATATCTAAGGGCACCATGAGTTAAGCCATGTATGAAAATTACACACAAAAACAAGCCCATTCTGGCAATTGTTGTTGTTGTGTGCCGTGGAGTCAGTTCCCACTCATAGTGACCCTGCACAGGGTTTCCGAAGCTGTGAATCTTTACGGGAGCAGAATGCCTCATCTTTCTCCCGCGGAGCAGCTGGTAGTTTCGAACTACTGACCTTGCGGTTCGCAACCCGTTTCTGATTCGTAACCACTACCCAGAGCTTATTGCATTAGAGGTCCCATTTCTGCTTGAAAAGAGGGCCCTTTACATTTCAAACTGATACCCAGGTATAAAGATACTAGCTAACAACAGCTGATAAGAGCTGCACTGCTTTCCCTTAATCTTCCTGTTAACAGATACTCTTCAAGCCCGAGCCAATTCCACACTAATTAGAACACAGGCCAAAAGAACCACCTTGTCTTCTGACTCCAGAACATCCCAGAAATATGGCCACCCAGAACCATTTTAGAAGCAAGGGGTCGGACTGCAACTGCCCCCTGTGAATAAATAACACCTGCTTCGGCTCTCCTGAAAGCTGCAACATGCCCTGGGTCGTTTGTTCTGGGAGACGGTGCTTTGAGAACAATCTTCCTTCTTGTTACAATGAATGCTATGCTTACATCAGTATGACTGTTATTCTTAACTAGAAAAGAGATGTTTGGTTACAGTATCACTCTCATGGTAAGTTAAGGGGACAGCAAGAGGTCAGGGAACAGGTAGTTGGAGACTTGTTGCCTCAGATAAACAAAGGCATGGAAGTGGGTGGGGACACTGGTGGTAAAGCCAGGACAGCCTGGGAAGAACGTTTCCACCCACACTTCTTCACTTTCCAGGTGGGGAGAAAGGAGCTTGTTTGTGAACTGAACTTATGAGCGGAACCAGTGACGCCTGAGTGTGGTTAGAATCTGCTAGCACCTTTTGAGGGTCACACTGAAGGTGTGATGCAGGGAACCAGCAGCACTGTGAGGATGAGCATCAGGATTAGTAAGTGCCCAGGTCAGCTCCTACCAGAGTTCTGCCGAGACGCAGGAGCAGTTCTTGTAGCTCAGGTGATAACGCGCGGGCAGCAGCTTCTGCCATAATTAGTGCAGGTTGACCAATGTGATGGACCCAAAAACAAGAGCTATCTTCAAGACGGACCACCAGAGAGCTGTGGGCCACAAAAGACTTCCTCTCTGGGCTTCTCCAGGAGCAGGCGCAGTTCCAGTAAGTGCTGTTTCTGCAGTCCTACTCCCCCCCAGGCTCCACTCAAAGCTGCCCATAGGAGGGTCTCTTCAAACCTCCTCCCTGCTCCCTACCACCAACTGAGCACCGTCTCTTACTCAACTCCTGGGTGCTGCTGACAGGAAGTAGCCTGGCTTCTGGGTGAGCAGAGTGGTGGTGGGTTGGTAATTACCACCAGGTGACTTGGCCTGGCAAGTCTAAGGCAAATAACTGCCTAATCCGGTGTCCTAGCAACAGCCCTTGGCCCTGCCCAGACCACATTTATCTCAGCTAGTTGCCTTGGCAACGTGAGTTGTTCCCCAAGGGCAGGAACTGGTGTGAGCACCTAGGATCTGCGGAGTGAGAGCACTGTGCGTCCTTATGACATGTTCCAAGTCCCCATGAAGAAGGCTCTAGTCTCACCGGGAAGCTACAGGTCAGGAGACTGGAGTACTTCGGCTGAGCTGTTCCCAGTGTAACCTTCCTGCTTCCAGAGTTCTTCGTCCTCTGTAGTAGATGATGTGGGGGCACAGCCCTGAGCTTCCTGGGTTTGACCTAGCAGGCGCCACCGTGCAGATAATGGAGTTGTTCAGGAAGAACCTGGGGGGTTACCTCCCATGTTTCCTCATCCACAGAGGCATCCCACAGGTGACAGGCTGGGACTAAGCCAGAGCACAGTCACAGCATTAGCCAGGGACATCTGAGGACTTGGTCAGAAGCCTGTCTGGCGCCTGGGTGAGTCATTCTAACTCAGGGTGTATGCAGTGGGTTCTGATTTCCAACCCCCCAGGCAAGCAGTGCAGGTGCCCCGGGGTGGGACAAGTCCAGCCTAGTCATTTAGACATTTTCTAACCAGCCAGGGCTTTCCCATTCTTTGCCACTTCCTGGAGAGAGGTGGCTTGCTGGAGGAGGGCTGGGGGCTGAGGCAGGCCCAGAGAACTCTGCATTTTTGGCCCTGGGGTCTGAGGCTGACTGAGTCTTAACTTCTGCTGGTCAGTGAGATGGCAGCCCAGTGTCCATGGCAAACAGAATGACTGTGGGTCGGGTATGTGGCTTTCAGGGAGGTGGAGGTCCTAGACCCCAGCACCAAGGACTAAGGAGAAAAACTGCTGGCAAACAGCATGTGTGTGACTCTCTGAGCAGCAGAGAAAACAACACCTTAGCTCCAGGCCCTTAAATCAGTCTCCTATCTCTTCTTGCAGTTAGGAAGTGGGAGCTGGTGAAAAAGCAGCGCAGACCCCTAGGATATCAGGTGTCAGATTCCCTTCCTTCCTGGTTTAAGCAGAAAGGCCAGAGGGTACCAAATAGATGGGAGAAAGGAAATAGATAGAAAAACCCAGGAAACAAATAACGGCAATGTGTCCAGGAAGGGGAGGGAGGGATGAGGGAGAGTGCCAGGTGGCAGATACAAGCCAGGTGAAGCCTGCCTAGACAAGCTACAGCCACTGTAGTGGAAGGGGAGGGACCTCTCCAGCTATTGGTCTCCTCAGCCAGGTGAGGGGTTTACACCCAGGCAGGCAGTCTTGTCACCAAACAGCCCAGACAGGATGGCCTTTGACACAACATCCTCCAGTGGGGCTGAGACACCAGCAGACCTGGGAGTTGATTAGGCCCCACTCTAATCTCCACATGAAAACCTGCCCGCTGTGTACCCCATGGAAACTGCCCCCCTCCTTTTCAAAAGCGAACCTGGGGCGACAGATCCTTGTCACTCATGCAGGTAGTCCCAGACCGTGGGACCAAGTCAAGGATCAGTCAGCACCATGTGACCCCTCCCTTCCACCCAAAACAAGACCCCAGAGGCAGTCCTTTTTCTTTCAAATGCAGTTCTTTCCCCACAAGGCCTGCAACAAGCTTTGGTGCTGAGATTTGGGGGTGAGGGAGGCATGTGGACAAAAGAAAGGGAAACAAACATAACACCCCAGTTGACAGCACAGAGCCTTGGCCTGGAGAAGTCCAGGCTCTGGGGTGGTCAGGACGTACAGCCACCTCCCCCTGCCACCCTGGAGCTCAGGCATTGCAGGTCTTCCAGGCACAGATGGGGAGTGGTCATTTCCCCGTGTCCACGAGCTGTCTAGGAGAAGGGTGGAGCTGTATGTGTATATAATAGGCTATATTAGAAAACTCTCTCTATAAATATAAAACACTGGTATCCAAACATGACACCAACAGCTAACTAAAGTGCTTGACAGGAGGTGGGCATGTCTGTGTGTAGGGAAAACTATTCTTGGGTAGGACCCTGAAGGAGGGAGAGACGCTGGAAAAGCAAACAATGCAGGACCCCCTTGCCTACTGGGAAATAGGACAGGGCAGGGAAAGGGCACTCAAGAGGTTTTAGGCTTCTTGACTGCCCCGGCCACCTGTGCCACAGTCACAACTGTGACTGTGTTTCTGTCCATGAGGACAGCGCTGGGAAGCTGGGGAGTGGGTGAAGGGGATGTCCGTCAAGAGAGCTGGTCAAGGTAGGCACAGCTGGCTCCGCCCACAGGGCCAGGGGCGAGGGGAATGCGTGTATGCTGACAGCAGGGGAGGAGGAGGAGTCTTTTCATAATTCATCATTTGTAAACATCCACACCATCCAGTAGCCCCGCCTTCACTCCTGGTGGGCCTGCCTGAGGAGGAGGGAGGTAGGGAGAGCGCCTTGGGGCAGCCGACCCAGGAAGCTACCGGTATATCTGTAAGCCCAAAGCAAAGCAGTAGTACCTCCATTATCCCCAAGAGCCCCACCCTGGAGAACAAGGCCCATTCTGAGTTCACACCCAGAGAAATGTCAACAGGCAAGTGGTCACCAGAGCTCTGGGGGGTAGAGGAGCCCCAGAGAGCAAGGAAAAGGCCCCCTCACCCCAGAACACAGTGCTACAAGAATGGGTTGGTGGCTGGAGGTTTGGAGGCCAATGGGCTTGCTGATGATCCAGTCTGGAAAGAGACAAGACAGTGACGTATTAACCATGGAAGAAATGCAGTTCAAGGTTCCCATCTCCCTCAAAATGAGTGCTGAAGGAAGCAGGGGGGGAAGGGAGAGGTACGTGAATAAAAGTATGGCAGGTAAGAGGTAAATGGGAATTTTAGAATTTCATGAGAAGCAGTGTGAGATCCAACCCATATCTTCTCCTGAAAGGATTCTGTCTCCAGCTCCCCGGGATGAAAGACCACAGCCCACACCTCAGAATCTCAGCCCCCGAGGGGCTGCCTCCTCACCATGAACGGGTTGGTGGAGATCCCAGCTGGCTGGCTTTGTGGCCTCTGCCCCAGCTTGGTTGATCTTACGTCTCCGAAGGAAGAGCCTAGGCGGGAAGAACAGAACTCCTCAGTTGAGATGAACCCTGCCCCTCAGGCTGCACCCCACCTCTCTGGAGAGCTGCGAAAGGAGGCCTTCCTCACTGTGGGAAGTGACCATCTGCAGCAGAGCCTGGACACCGATGTTCATGGCAGCACTGTGACAATAGCCCGGAGGGGGGACAGTGGACATGTCCATCACATGGACTACTACCCAGCCTAGGAAATGAAGTTGTGATGTATGCCTGGATTCACCTGGACACTCACAACTGGACAGATGCAAACAGTCGCACTTGATTGAATAAGCACAGATGTAGACACCAAAGATTACTGTGGTGGCCAGAGTTGGAAGAGAGGAGCAGAGGGGGAGGCTTTGCTTAGGGGGCATGGAATTTGTTAATGGTACTGGAAAGATTTGGGAAAGGATATTGAAAATGGGGTGTGTGGTGGCTCCAGAGTATGAGCACTGTGAACCACAAGGTCAGGAGTTCAAGCCCACTAGCTGCTCAGCAGGAGAAAGATGAGACTTTCTGCTCCAGCAAAGATTTACAACATCGGAATGAACTGGATGGTAACTAACATTGTGTGCTGTATTTTCACCAAGAAGAAACCTGAGCAGTCAGGGTACAAAGGTAGGCCTGTCCCTTCCCTGACCGCCCCCCCCCCCCGCCCCCCCGCAGCTTATCTAGCTCCCTGACATATGTCCCTAAGGGGCGGGGGGTGGGAAGTCTGTATCCCTCACCATTCTGCTGCTGAGTGGTCTGTGGGGGAAACAGAGGCACTGGGAAGGTGCTGGCAAAGCCCCCAGTCGGTGGCACTGTCTGGGGGAAGCCTGGTCCGGTGCTGCTCAGCCCAAAGCCAGGTCCTGTGAAACAAGGGTCAGAAGGTTCTTTGAACTTTTGGAAGGTGGGCGGCTGGAGACGCTTTTCTGCAATCCCTCCCAGAACTGGCTAAGGTGAGTCAAAACAAAACAACCCCAATCCTATGTCATGGAGCCTGGGTTTTTTTTGTTTTTTTTTTTTTTCAAATGTTTTATTGTGAATTATGTGATAGTTTACATGGGAGAACATTAGTTTTACATTCATTCTATCTATCGTATATTGTCTCATTGCCATGGTTACAATCCCCTCCATGCAATCCTTCCCCTGTACCCCCCAGGTCTTCAGCACACAGTCACTCTCCCTCTCTGGATCTAAAGTCTCCAGCTGCTCCATCGCTCCACGTCATCATCTCTAGCACTGAGCCTGTTTTTTCTAGTTCTAAAATCCTTCTGTGACTTGGGTGTTTCTACTTTAGCCCACTAGCAATGTAAATGCTGTAAAGTGGGCCAGAGGAGACTAGTTTCAGAAGGACAGCCCTCAGCTGAGGCTGCCTGCCACTCCTCCCAGAAAAGGTGCAGGGGAATTGTGACCTGAGACCTTAACAGGTCAGGGCCAGGGGGCCATCTTACCTGCGGCCAAGCCATTGGGCTGGAAGGGGTTGGTAGAGAGCAGCTGGGGGTGAGCAGCAGGTACCGTGAAAGGGTTGGTGAAGGCTGTTCAGGGTGGAAGTGGGAGAGAGTTCTTTTTTTCCCCTTGTTTGCTCAATACAGTGATAGTTGAGTCCCTCCAAACCATGGTGCATCCCTCCCTTCCAGAGTCCTCAATTTCCTCCTGGTCTCCACAGACGGTACTCACCTCCAAACGCAAATCCCATGCTGCCACTGGGGCCTGCTGTGGCGGACTGGGGTGCAGGGGCTGAGCCAGTCATCCCGAAGATGCTGTCGTATGGAGAAAGATATCAATGTGCACATGCGCCACGGCCCAGGACTGGACAGAGATGACAAACCCTGTCCCTGCTCTCAAAGTCGACACACAGATGGGTAAGGGAGAGGCCAGAAGGGAGACAGGAGTGGACCAGGCTGGAACGGAGGTCAAACTCTCCCGATTCAAGGCAACGTCTTGATGTCTGGACCTACCTGTTAGGAATACCTGCAGCTGGCACGCCAGGGCCCAAGATGCTGCCCATATCTGTCAGGCTGTTAGGCTGGCTGGCAGGCGCGAGAGGAGAGATACCAAATGGAGTCACCTGGCTGCTCCCTATACAGTCAGAGGAAACAACAGGTTGTGTCTGGAGTGAGGAGGATGGAGGTGAGGCGCCTATGGAGGAACGATGGCAGGAGAGGCACCAATGTGTCCCCATGTGCAAGGCTGACAGAACCATCCCAGGAGCAAGAGTCCTGGAATTCCTAAGCAGTTTGGCTCACAGGAAGCGGCCTGAGTCCCTGTCATTTTAAGAACGTCTCTAGCAGGGTGTCAAAATCTCATCCAGGTAATGGGACCCTTGCTGTCTGCCATTCTGGGTTGTTGTAAATGTCAAATGAAGTCTCAAATGAGAAAAAGCTTTCTTTGGATGAATGCTGGAAGACTTCTCAGTGAAGTAAAACAGACTTTGCACAACGTCTGCCTAGGAATGGGCCCTTAGTAACTAACTGTCTGCAGCGTGCATCTGTAGTTGTTAAGGCAGAGCCAATCTAGCTGCGACTCTACACCTGCTGCCTCTGAGACTCTGGCACCTACACCTCAGGGTGGTTGTAAAGACCATCTGAGAGAAATGAAAGTGTTTTGAAGTCTGTCAGAGCTCAAGAGATTTCTACCCAAGAGACTTCTTCCTGATGACCTTCAGACATGTCAGTAGATGGGACAAAACCCTTCCATGAGGAGAAAAGCCGGGGCTGGAGAGCGGTGCTGAGGGGGTTACCTTCACCCGGGCTGCCTCTCAGAGACCAGAGGAAGGAAATAGGAAAGGAAAAGCGAAACGACATGAGATGAAGGAGGAAAAAAGCCAGAGCCACGCTGGGTTTTAAAGCGTCACAGTTCCTCTGTTCCCTAAAATCACAGCTTGCTTTCTTGTCAGTAGTTTTGGGATTTTTTTCCTAAATACCTCAGAACTGTAATTTGAATATCCCTGTGTTTCCTTTTCTTAAGCACAAGTGGTAAAAAAAAAAAAAAAAAAAATCTGTAAACTTAAACTGCCATTGAGTCGATTTGAACCCATAGTGACCCTGCAGGGCAGAGTCCAACTCCAGAGGGCTTCCAAAGCTGTAATCCTTACAAAAGCAGACAGCCTCATCTTTCTGCCAGGGTGCGGCTGGTGGGTTCAGTTGAGCGCTTAACCATTGTGCCACCAGGGCTCCACTGCCTGCAGCTCCCCTGCCCCACACTCAAGGGTATGTAAGGGCATCACTCAAGCGCCAGGTCCGTGACTCTGACTCTGAGAAGGCGGGCAGAGGACCAGGGCTGACCAGCAGTCAAATCCCTTTAATCAGAGCTCTCTATTTTGCTATTCTGTGTCCCAAACCCCTGGACTTTCAAGATGACAAGTGCTGGTTCTGCACACCCTTCCTTTCTAGGTCATGATGCCACAGCGCACCCTTGCGCTTCAATCCTCTCCAGTCTAAAAGCCATGAGGAGGGGTGGTGTTGGATCTTCTACCGACCCACCGCCCCCAAGCCTCAGGCCTTTTCCTTTCCTGACAATTCTGCCCTCAGACTCCTTACTGTTTGCTCAGGGGTTTCAAATTCCAACAGCTTCCCTCATTGAGGGCAGGGCGGTGTGCCTCTCTGTGGACACTAGAGGGCAGAGGCTGTCCTTAGCCAAGCGGGGCCAGCCCCCTACACAAAGACCCATGTTCTCAGAAGACTGAAGCCCCGAGAACCTCACTCCATGCTGCTGAATTTGTACACATGTCAGGAGACATTGCAGTTTTAGAGGTTTCCTCTCTCGGTACTCCCCCTCAGAAATATAAAAATAAAGCCAGGCTTGCCAGAAGAGATAGCCGCCTCTCACCAAATCTCCCTTCTTACTTCATACTCAATAGCTCTCTGTATCATACTCACAGAAAACATCTTAATGGTCATGATGTGATCACAGTGAATGGAGTCGGCCACTTCTCTGACATTGCTTTTGGCCAAGTGGAGTCATTTCCTCAAACTGCAAAATGGAGATCTTTCTTTCTTCAGAGAGCTACCATGTAAAACCTTCTGGCAACGGCACAGGCTGGAGCCTCACATGAATCAGGGCTGACTCTGACTGTAGACTGGTTTGCCTTTTTTGTTTGTTTGTTTTTTTGAGATGACATTGGACAAAGGTCTGGGATGGTTGAGGGCTGAGCCTGCCTTCACTCGGGCTGGGGTGGGGCTAAGAGAAGGTAGGGAGAGGAGTCTGTCTTCAAAGCAATCATGTGTGCTAGGAGCATGTAGCTGAAGAGACCAATTTGAAACAACCACTTTGGCATTTTCACTTCCAGGAACACATTATCTCTTGCTTAATTGTGTAATATTCATGTACCAATTTATACTTCTACCAACAGTGTCCAAGAGGGCCCCCCCCCACCAATACTGACCATTATTAATCTTTAACACTTTTATCAATACAATGCAAGAATCATTAGCTTATCCTAACGAGGCTGAAGACATTTTCATACTGTTCTATTATCCTTGTCTATTATTCTATGTTTGTTTTTTTTTAATTTATGGAAGCTTTAAAAAAATGTATTTTGAATGTTAAATTTTTGTCTGTTTTCCACACTATAAAGATCTTCTCCCTGAGTCCTGGTGTGGTGCTGTGGGTTAATGTGTTGGAATGCAAAGTCAGTGATCAGTAAGGTCAGCAGTTCAAGCTCACTCATGGCTTTTAAAGCCTTATTTAGGATATTTCTTATCATAAAGAATGTGACCTATACAATTTCTGTTTTTTAGACTATATGGAGATTTTGTTTCCTAGTATGTGGTTAACCTATAGAAGTTATATGCTTAAAAGAAGCATATAGTCTGGCTGTTGGGTACATAATTCTACTTATTAGATCAAACTTGAAGTGTTACTCAAAATCAGCTACTTTCTTACTTAGCAAGCTACTGGACCTATCAACAGCCAGGGTTCTCAAGTCACTCGCGCTGTTGGCTTGTAACAGTCTCATTGTATGTAACAGCTTGTCCTTTAGGAACCTCAAGGTTATGTTGTGTTTTAGTTCATTTACTGTGAGAACGACTTTTTGAATTTTAACTTTTATCAGTATAAACTGTCTCTCTGTGTCCCATTCAAAAACCACAAAGGAAAAGTTAAGGAACAATAAAAACAAAAGCAACCAGTCAGTCAATAGCGGCACAGTGGAGAGGCTGTGGGCTGAGTCTGTTACTCTGATGAGCCAGGTTAACTGTAGAACTATCTATCTGTAGTAGAGCTCGCCTCTAAAGTGGTCAAGGACTTCATTCTTCTTGGATCAACTATCAACACTCACGGAAGCAGCAGTCAAGAAATCAAACGACTTATTGCATTAGGCAAATCTGCTGCACAAGATCTTTTTAAAGTGTTGAAGAGCAAAGATGTCAGCTTGAGGACTAAGGTGCGCCTGACCCAAGCCATGGTATTTTCAATAACCTCATATGCATGCAAAAGCTGGACGGTGTAGAAGAATTGATGCATTTGAGTTATGGTGTTGGAGGAGAATCCTGAAAGTGCCATGAGCTGCTAAAAGAACCAACAGATCTGTTTTGGAAGAAGTGCAGCCAGAATGCGCCTTGAAGGCCAAGATGGCCAAACTTCATCTCTCATACTTCGGACATACTGTCAGGAGGGACCAGTCACTGGAGAAGGACACCATGTTTGGTAAGGTGTGGAGGGTCAGAGAAAAAGAGGAAGACCCCCAACGAGATGGATTGGCCAAGTGGCATCATCGATGGACTCAAGCGTGACAACAGTAGTGAGGTTGCCCCAGGATTGGGCAGAGTTTCGTTCTGCTGTGCGTAAGGTCGCTATGGGTTGGTACCAACTCAATGGCACCTAACAACAACTACAAAGGCTCCTTGCAGACTCAAAACTCTTATCATGAACGTGGAGAGATGGAGAGGCTGGGGACTCTGGACTCAGGGAGGGAGAGGGTCTGTGTGTTGACGGCTGGGAGGGAGGAGGGCAAGCGTGCGGGGTATATCCTTTGGTTGTTTGATGATGCATGCAGGGGATTGTAATCATTGCAATGAAATGAAATACGATAGGATGAATGTAAAGATAATGTTCACCCATGTAAACTATCACATAATTCACAATAAAAACTTTAAAAAACCCACAAAACTCTATCATGAGAGGATACAGATAGGCTTTTCCCCTTGGGTAGACTCTGGGGTGGGAAGAGGAACTTACCAAAACTGTAACTTCCAGTTAGCATCCGACTGGCTGGCAGTGAGGGTGGAGAAGGAAAGGATGTAGGCAGAGGAAAAGGGAGAGAGAGAATATGAGTCAATCCATCATTGGCTTTTCCCCAGTCTGTCTCTACAGCTCTCTAGCTGCTCTTTCCAAGCTTCAAGGATGAGGGGCAGCCCAAAGGCTATTCAGACCTGATGCTGAGGGCACTAAGGAGGAACCAAATGCTTGAGAGTTTCCTTCAATTGTTAAGTAACAACGTAAAGTTAACAAGTTTTTGCTCTTGGACTTCTAGAGACTACTTGGAACTCTGATCCAAGTTGTCGACCTCTTTAGACACTTCTGCCAACTTCTAAGCCAGCTCTGACAGAGACTTTTAGAAAGAAAGTCGCGTCTATCTGCAGAGGTTCAAGTGCTCAGGTCGCCCATGTTTCGTAATCAGAACCAGTGAACTGTAGCCATTTTTCTTTCATGAAAAACAGAAGAGAGCTGCTACTCCCCCGCCTTTTCCCTGAGCATCTTCTCCCCATTCTGTAGGTCAGTGGACAAGTGGAGGAAGGGTGACTATGGACATGGGAAACTGGATCCAGTTGAAAGGCAGAGGAAGCCGGTGGTGGAGTTTACCTGCGGGTGTTGGCTGGGCCTGGAATGGGGCTTGGCCAACTGGAGGGATATTGCCAAATGTAGAAGAGCTGGGGCTACTGCCAAAGGCATCGAAGTTGGCAAAGCCCCCATGGGAAGGCGTCTGACCTACAGATGGAATATAGGGTTATATGTTGTTAAATGCCATTGGGTCAGTTCCAACCCATAGCAACCCTGTACTTCCAAGGAGCGGTCCAAACAGACTTTGTAGTCCAGCGCATTAACCCACAGCACCACACGTATATATAATGCATATCTATATCTATAAAGGAGTCCTGGTGTGGCGCTGTGGGTTAATGCACCAGACTGCAAAGCCGTTTGAACTGTAAGGTTGGTGGTTCAAGCTCACCAGCTGCTCCTCGGAAACCCTGTATAGGGTCGCTATGGGACGGAACCAACTCCATGGCACTTCACAACAACAAGATATCTATACAGGGGGTCCTGGCGTAGCGATGTGGGTAAGCACTGGACTGCTAACCATAATGTCAGTGGATTAACCCACTAGCTGCTCCTTAGAAGCCCTATACAGGGTTGCTATGAGTTAGAATCAACTTGAAGGCAAACTTAACAGCAACAGTGTATCTACATAACGCATATTACTAATTCTAAAGGTCAAAGGCAACTTTTATGATCTCTGTCTCACCACAGAGTCCTTTTCAGAGGGCAAGGCAGCCAAACACCCCAGGGGGAAAGTGGACTCTCAGGTCTCCAAGTTCATTCCCCACCATCGTTTTCCTCACCACGTAGGCTATCAGGAATCCTGTGTGGCTCTACAGGATAAATACTAAACTGCTAACTTCAAGGTCAGCAGTTCAAACCCACCAGCCGCTTCTCGGAAAGCCTACTCAGGGTCGCTGTGGGTCGAAACCAACTATTAGGCACTTAACAATGTGGCATTAACATTTTGTTCGGGGCTTAATTTAGGGCATAATCACATGAGGAAATGAATTGTGTATATGGGGGAGGAGGGCTGACAAAGAAAAAGAGAAATTAGACACTACTTGGTTCAACCCACTATGGTCTACAGCTGACCTTGAGAGGAAGCAGAGGCCGTGAAATCCCACCGCCTGCAGCTATTTTCATAGAATGAAAGTAATCAAGAGGTTACTTCAGTATTCTAAAAGGAGGCGCTGGAAGCTTTTAACTCTAACGTTTTATAGCCAGCTCCCAAACACAGTCCCTGTTCCATGCACTTGACCCCGACTTTCCCAATCTTGATGCTTCAGAGCCACTAGCATGTTCACTCACATGAAGAAACCTAGAGCCGCGGGAACCTTGGCTTCCTCCCAGGAGGGAACCCCTTGTATCACAGGGCACGTATGCTGTAGGAAGACTCATTCTCAGTGCCACTTACCTCCAAAGGCTGGGAATGCAGCAAAAGTTGGTGCCGTCTGGGGAGCAGCAAAGGGGTCTCCACCGATATCAGCCAGCAGGTCAGTACTGGCTTTCTTGACAGAATGAGGGGGAGCCTGGGAGCTTCGGGGCTGGGATGTCCGAGCCTGGGGCTGACTGACAGACTTGGAGAAGGAACAACACACAGCATTTGGAACCTCAGACGTGACCCAGGCCCCTCTATGACTTCCCTGGCTGCCCCAACACAGGCAAACGGAGAGGAAAGAATGTAATTGCTTTCAGTTTGAGAGGCTTTCTGGGTAGAGGCGGCCTGATTCCTCTATCTTCTCAGGGCACCAGCTCCCAGAACCACACCAGTTAGAGTGTGTTTGTCAAGGTAACCCTGAGATCCATAAGAATGGTGCCAACAAGTCATTTCCCCTGGTTCTTAACACCTTCACCTTTCCTAGTGTTTGAATATCCTGTTTCCTTGGAGGCATGGAGTTTATGCTCTCCTTCTCTAAATGCCATTTCCTGTTGGGTTCTTTCTTTCAAAAAGGGAGGCGTCCAGAGGAGACAGACAGCAAGATACTGGTAACAGCTGGGCTGTGCCTGCTGTCCACCAAAGTTCAGGGCATTTGAGTTAGGAAACTGACACCCTGTCCCCCAAGAGCCCAAAGTAACATGTGACAGTTACCTGGTTAGCAGCTGAGAGACACGGCACAGGCTCACCCGGAAGTGTCCGCTGGGGCTTTCCTTCTGGGACTGAGCCCTGGACAGGAGTGGAGGCACTGCCTTTGGTATAAGTGGGTCCCTTTACTTGGTCTGGGGGCACATACCTTTGAGGAAAAATAGTTAGGCTGAAAACCCCGGACCATCTCAGCTTGGGTGACTGGGAAAATACCTGTTATAGCAGTCCAAGTCCTTTCTCATCTTTTCTGGGAACCCAAAGACAATTCCACAGCTTAGTAAAGTCCTGCCTACTCCAGCTTCCCCTTTACTGTCAGGAAGCTCGCTTTATTCTGCAAGATGCAGCAGCTGCCTCTCGCTTATGCCTAGTTCCTCCTCCCTCTGCTTTCTGACACCTCAAACCATCTCTATTTAAAGTAATGTTGTTAAGTGTTGTTGAGTCAGTTCTGACTCACAGTGACCCCGTATAGGGTTCCCGAGGAGTGGCTAGTGAGTTTGAACTGCTAACCTTGCAGTTCAAACCGATCTTGAGGTCAAGTGTTTTTCCTACGGTGCCACCCCACCACATGCAATAATGCTGATGGACATGCAATCTGGCTTTCCAGTTTCCTTCTCGAGACTTCCCTTTTTATTTCCCAGATCCGTCTTCATATTTCTCCTTCTCAGTCCCACAACAAAAGTGTCTGTGCTCGCAGTTGAAACTCTATCTTGTCAGCTCCTAATGCTTGAGAAAAGCGTACTTCCTCCACTTTAAAGAGGTCTGTGGCACAAAACCTCCTTAAAGTGTTCAAGAGCAAAGACGTCAGTTTGAGGACTAAGGGGTGCCTGACCCAAGTCACGATATTTTCAAATGCTTCATATGCATGTAAAAACTGAACAATGAATAAGGAAAACCATAGAAGAATTTGATGCATTTTGAGTTATGGTGTTAAGAGAAGAATATTGAAAGTACCATGGATTGCCAGAAGAACAAGCAAATCTGTGTTGGATGAAGTACAGCCAGAATGCTCCTTAGAAGCCAGGATAGCTAGACTTCATCTCTTATACTTTGGACATGTTATCAGGAGGGACCAGTCTCTGGAGGACATCATGCTTGGTTAAGTGGAGGGTCATAGTAAAAGAGGAAGACCCCCAATGACATGGACTAGCACAGTGGTAGCAACAATGACCTCAAGAGTAAAACCAATTATGAGGCCGGCCCGCGCGCACGCAGGACTGGGTGGCGTTGTTCCATTAGTTGTGCGTAAGATAGGATGCTTTGGGTCGGAGCTCCTCAACGGCACCTAACTCCATTTCCAGTGTAGGTGGTCCCTACTTCTTTATCCTGAAGATACCTTCAGAAGGGATGCTCTGCATTCGCTCCTCCACCCTGACAGTTATCAAACAACAGGAAGTAACATCTCTGGAAGTAAAGGTAGGGGAGAATGCAGGTGCTGTTTTCTTCATTGGGAACAGAATAAATACAGAAAACTTGTGAATAAAATGATGGGTTAAAAGCATAAAGCTATAGGAAGTGAGCTTTGAACCAATCCCCCAGTTTTATCTCCCCATTTGCTTAACAGCATGAAATCTGAAGGCTTTTTGCCCCATGAGTGACTCCAACCAGGCAGAGCTTCATTCCATCTATTGTGCCTAGGTCTGTGTTCCGGTGTGACACTTTTAATTGAGTACCTCAGGCACGTTTGACAGGCGGGACTGCCAGAGTTAGAAGCAGAATACACTTAAAAATGAGTTTGGGTCTGCCCCTTAATGCTGCCTCAATGGCCGCCTGGCTGTGACGTCATCCCACGAGCCTCAAAGACAGTGTGTCAGCTCTCCTGCCTGCAGTGGTCCCTCCTGCTTCGGTAGGCCCAGCCCCAGCGTATGCCTGTGATGTCAGGGATGACATTTACTCTCTGTGTCCTATAAAAGGCCGCCACCTTGTGGAGGCAGAACTTCAGAAAATTCATCATGGCATCCTACTAATGATTTCCCTCACCTGAGTGATTTGTCTTTATCTTGTGTTTACTTCTGTCTAAGGCTTAATAAAAGGAGCTCTGGTAGCACAGTGGTTACGAATTGGGCTGCTGACCTTAAGGTCAGCAGTTCGAAAACTACCAGCTGCTCCGCGAGAGAAAGATGAGGCTTTCTGCTTCCGTATACAGCCTCGGAAACTTTGTACAGAGTCACTATGAGTCCGAACCAACTCCACGGCACGTGACATAACCACCAACCACCAAGGCTTAATAAACAGTCTCTATAAATCATTATATATGGAAAGATGAGGGTCTTTCTCCCCTACAAAACATTCTTCCCCCAAGAGGAGCTACCAAAATGTAGGTGTAGTGACTAAGAACAGGTTGACCTTTCATGTAGACTATGGTTTTGAAGGCAGAATGGGAACATCAGGGAAAGCCTGTCTGACACGTCTCCACAGCAATCGCTTTTCTCCTCCTTACCATCTCTTCTTCTCATATTTTTCCTGGAGAAACTCCTTCACCTTCTGAGGGTCCCTGGAATCTGGTACTAAAGATGTCCGGGCATCAAAAAGACCCAGCCAGATCTTCCTGCAAACCTAAAGGAAGGAAGTTGGGTGATAACAGGAGTTGGAGCAGAAAGCTTGAAATGGGAAAGATTCCACTCCCCATGTAATCATCAATAATTACTTATGGAGAATGGACACAGTATTAGGATCTGCATAGAGCTGCTAAACCGACATGACCCTACCTTCACAGAGCTTGTAATCAAATGGAGGGGTAACGCCTTAGAGAAATAATGGGTCTATCTCTTTTTTAGTGACCCTCCACGTTATCAACCATGGTGTCCTTTCTCCAGGGATTGGTCCCTCTTAACAACATGTCCAAAGTATGAGAGATGAAGTCTCGTCATTGTTGTTTCTAAAGAAGAAATCAGCCTTCCAAAGTAGATTGGTTTGTTCTTCTGGCAGTCCGTGGTACTTTTAATATTCTTTGCCAACACCATAATTCAAAGGTAGAAATTTTTCTTTGGTATTCTTTACTCATTGTCCAGCTTTCACATGTATTTCATACATAAGACAATTAAAAATACCGTGGTCAGGCGAACCTTAGTCCAAATTGACATCTTGGCTTTTTAACACTTCAAAGAGGTCTTTTGCAGCAGATTGGCCCAATGAAATACATCATTTGATTTCTTGACTGCTGCTTCCATGAACATTGATTGTGGATCCACGTAAAACGAAATTCTTCCCAACTTCAATCTTTTCTCCATTTATCATGATGTCATATATTCGTCCAGTTGTGAGGATTTTTGTTTTCTTTATGGTGTAATCCATAAGGTGCACCTGACTCAAGCCAAGATATTTTCAATAACCTCATATGCATGTGAAAGTTAGATAGTGAATAAGGAAGACTGTAGAAGAACTGATGCATGTGAGTTATGGTGGTGGAGGAGAAGACCAAAAGTGCCATGGGCTGCCAAAAGAACCAGCAGATCTGTGTTGGAAGACGTGCTCCTTGGAAACCAGGCTATCAGACTTTGTCTTTCATACTTTGGACAAGTCCCTGCAGAATGATATCATGTTTGGTAAGGTGGGGGAGGGGGGCCAAAGAAAAAAAGGGAGACCCCCAGTGAGATGGATTGGCACAGTGGCAGCATCAATGGGCTCAAATGTAGCAACAACTGTGGAATACTGCCAGGATCGGGCAGTATTTCATTCTGTTGTGCATAGGGTCCCTAGGAGTCAGTACCATCTTGACAGCATCCAACATCAACAATACAAACTGAAAGCTGTAGTCTTTGATCTTCATCAGTAAGTACTCAAGTCCTCTTTGATTTCAGCAAGCAAGGTTGTATCATCTGCATATTGTAGGTTGTTAATGAATCCTGATGCCACATTCTTCTTCATAGAATCCAGCTTCTCAGATTACTCAGCATATAGATTGAATAAATAAACCCTGACAGACAGACACCTTTCTTGATTTTAAACCAGTCATCCTCCGCTTGTTCTGTTCAAACGACTGCCTCTTGGTCCAGTGCAGGTTCCCCATGAGCACATTAAGTGTCTGGATGTCCTGTTCTTTGTAATGTTATACAATCCACACAAATGCCTCTGCTTAGTCAATAAAACACAAATAAGCATCATTCTGAGATCCTTTGCTTTCACCCCAAATCTGACAGCAGTGACACCCCTTGTCCCACATCCTCTTCTGAAAGTGGCTTGAATTTCTGGTGACTTGCTGTTGATGTCCTGCTGCAACCATTTTTGAAGTATCGTCAACAAAATTTTACTTGCACATGATATTATTATTGTTGTTGTTAAGTGCCATCAAATTGGTATAGGGTTTCTGAAGAGCAGCTGGTGAGTTTGAACCGCCGACCTTGTGTTTCAAACCAACCTTGTGGTTCATGCTTTATCCTACAGCCCCACGACAGGACTCCGATATTAATTACATTGCTCAATAATTTCCATATTCTGTAGGGTCACCTTTCTTTGGAAAGAGCACAAACATGAATCTCCTCCGATTGGTTGGCCAGGTCTTTCAAATTTCTTTACATAGACTGCCAGGGACTGGCCTCGACATAGGGGTTCAGTTCATTAGGAGGAGATACCTGGCGGCGATAGAGATAGCAAAAGAGACACAGAGACGCAAAGAGAGAGACAAAGAGACACTCCGAAACCAGAGTGAATGCTG